GCACGACCAACCAGGGCCAGGGACAAACTGCAACCGAGGTACATGTCCTTTGCGGGAACCGAACCCGGGTCTCTCTGTACCGCAGGCCGACGCTCCAACCGCTGAGCCAAACCGGCCAGGGCTATTTTTTTTTTTAAATACATATTTATTGTACAGCTACTAATTGCCAAGTAGTGTGCTAAGCACTTAACACCTTACTTCATTCAATCCTATGAAGTGGATACTATAATGGAAATTTTAAAAGGAAGATACTAAGGTTCTGAGAGGTGATATGACTTGGAGATCACACAAACAGGAAGAGGTAGAGAGCCCAAACTTATACCTCTTCCCTGCCAGGATCTGGGTAACAGTCCACAAAGATTGTTGCATGTCTACATTTTCTTAGGTCTCTTCAAGGGGCCATGTCATCTGTTTTCCCTTCCCACAACCTGAGAGATTGTATGTAGTATAAAGAGTAGAGTCTGTCCTTAAAAGACTCTAAAAAATCATTCATTTCATTTTCCTTAATTATTTTTATCTATTCTGAGAGAAGAATTTAGACACAAGGTAGGGATGTATCTGGCTCCTACATTTTGGGGAACATGCACCAGCTTTGCAGTCTGGCCTACCTGGGGGCACAGATCAGCTCCACTATTTGCTAGCATCAAGCATCATTGACTGGTTCCCTTTCCCTTCCTGCAGGTAGGCCTGGTGCCTAGTGGACCCTGGTCAGTGCTTGCTGAGTGACTGACTAACCTTTATGGTATTACATTCCAGCACTCCCCAGAAATGCAAGTACTGGAATCAAAATCTCAGACAGCCTGGACTTCATCCTTTCTTCTCCCCACCCATCTCTCATCCTCATCAGTCACCCTTAAATATCTCTTGACCATTAGGTACCCCATATTCCCATGGCTACTGCCTAGCTCAGGTCCGTTCTCCACTGTAGCCTGCAAAAGCTTTCTAAAAAGGAAATCTGATCATCCAAAACCATTTAAAGATTCCCTACTGCCTAAAGGAAAATCACTATTTAACTCCTGACACACAAAAATCTAGTCCCTATCCACCTTTCCCAAGACCACATTCCAGTGATACCAGACTCTATTTCCTGAAGAACCCATGCACTCCCTTAACGCTGTGCCTCTGTGTGTGCTCCTCCTTCTGCCTGTGGAACATGCTTCTCTTCCTATGTGAAGCTCCATTTATTCTCCATGGCTTAATGTATGTGCCACCTCCTCTGTGACAGAGGGCACTTTCTGCACTTGACTGAGACCTCTATGGTGGCACAACTCACTAGGTGACTCATGTGCTAGCTATTTACCAGTATGTCTTCCCCTGGGACAGGGCCCTGGAACTCAGTGATAGCAGAAAAATACTTAATTGTGATCATGATTAACAGATCCTGAGAACTCTGACAAGTTTTTTCAAACACCTATTATTAGATCCTTGAAGTATTTTATAGATAAACAGGCTCAGGGAAGTTATGTAACTTGTCCAAGATCACACAGTTCAAAAGTGGTAAAATCTGTATTTAAGTCCAGCCCTCACTCTTAACCACTGTCCAATCCTGCCTCTTGTAGGGAATCATTCTGGTAGGCTCAGACCCCACCCAGCCCCTTACCTTGGCGCTATACTGATTGAGCTCTCCACTCTCATGGCCCGCAATGATGCACTCCCCTAGGGGTCCCCAAACAGCGCTGGTGATCTTGGAGTCATTGCAAGGGATCTTCATGTAGGGCTCGTTGTTATCTGTGTGGGGCAGCAGATGTCAGGCTTTGGGCTTTGGAGTTGCACCCTTTACCTCAACCCCGGCCCTAGGTCCAGCCTTACCAATCTGGCTTGGATCTCGCAGGTCAAAGAAGCTCACAAAGCACTGGTAGCCCATCTGCTTGTCCGTAGAGAACATGATGATATTGCCCCCAAAGTCAAAGCCACAGGTACGGACAGCTGAATTGGTCTTGAGTAGGGCCAGCTGCTTCCCTGGGGACAGACAGAGTCTGGGCTACTCCTTGCCCAGTGCCCTAACAGGGAGAAGACTACCCCTGCCTATTATCATGTCTCACTGTTTCTCCTGCTCTAGCTGACTCCAACCTACCACCCTCTTCTTCCTCACTGCTATGCTCTGGCTCAAGACTCTACACTTCTTCCCCAGTCTTTCCTCGGACACTCTGCTAATGTGGCACTGCTCACAGTGGAGTGCAAGACATCTGTCTCCTTCTCATGATGTGCTCCTCCACAGCAAAGACCTGCTCTAATTTCTCTGCCTGTCCCCAGTGCCCAGCACAGACCTGGCACAGAATTGGGTGCCCAGTAAATATTTATTAAACTGAGAAGCTTAATAGGATTCTATCTTTAGTCTCGGTTCTTTCAATGCTCCCCACTGCTACCTGAGCTTGCTAAAACTTAACCCAGACCAACACTCTTCCCTGCTCAGGGACTTCCACAGTATGCCATGTCTTATAGAACAAAGCCAAGCTCCTGATTTGACATTCAAGGTCTGGTCCTAACATGCCTCATCTGCTCCACTACCTATTTCGTTTCCCAAGAAGCAGGATTCCCAGCAGATCAGATGATTTAGATATGCTACTCACCATGCTTTCATTCCTGCATGTGTCAAAGCGATGATCTCTTTCTCATCAGTTAAGCCTCTACTCATATTTACCTTGGGAAATCTTCCTAAGCTGTTTCCATCCCATTCCAGACAGTTGCCCCTCTCTGGCCTTCCACAGTGCTCTATGCTTCTTTTAACACGGCTTATATCTTCCTGTAGTGCCTTCTTTCTAGTCTGTGTTCCTTATTTTCTCACCTATCTCTTGTTCCCTAGACTAGGAAGCATCTCAGGATTTATTTATATTTCCTCAGAACCTGTTTGCTTAAACAGTATACTGTAGGTCCTCACTGTTTGCTAAAAAAGTGAATGACCTAGGCTTACCTGTTTCACAGTCCCAGAGACGACAACTGTTGTCAGCTGAGCCGGTGAGGACATGCTTGGTGTCCCCTGATGAGGGTGTTAAGAAACATGACCAAGTTCACCTGAGCCCAGGTGAATCACCTCCTTGTTCAGTCCCAGAGAGCCCCTCTTCCTCTCTTACCTCAGAAGCACTCTAACTCCCTCAACCAGAAACGGAACTGGTCCTAAATGTTCCCTTAACCAATGAACAGACCAGGGACTAGCAGATAGGTATCATTCTCTAGACCCACAATAGCACCCCAAGTTCCCAGCTCCAAGTCAGTAGCCTCTCCGTTGCTGGCAGACCCTGGGAACATAAACTCAGAGCAAAGACAAGGATACAGTCAGCGTCTACACACCACACAGCTCCAGTATGGCCCATGTAGGTGCCCAGCCTCTCACCGTTCACAGAGTACCATACATTGACAATCTGGAGGAGTCAAAGACAATGTGACAGGATGGTACACACCCAGGCAGAGTGATGGCTTCATATTTTGCCCCAGGAACCCTCAGCAGTCTCTAGCTAGGTCAGATTCTGCCCTCTCCAGTTCATCTCTTGGGAAACAGCAGATTGCTGGCAAAAAGATCAACTCCTGGACTCTCACCCTTCCTGAAGGTTAAGAGGCAGGGGAGTCAGGAGGCTTACAAAAAGTCTTTAGCCCTGGCCGGTTTGGCTCAGCAGTTGGAGCGTCGGCCTGAGGACCAGAGAGTCCCGGGTTCGGTTCCTGTTAGGGGCACGTACAAAAAAAAAAAAAATTAAAGTTTCCCTTTGCTTGTCCCAGCCCTCCCTCAGACTCCTAAACCCTAAGAAGAAAAGGCCAAGTTGAGTGCAAGTCCAGAAAAACAGAAGCTTTGGTGTTCTGCCCAAGTGGAAGCTGCTGGTAGTAGGGAAGCCTGGGTTCAGTCCCTGCTCTGCCACTATTTCACTGAATTATCTCAAGTACAGTGCTTCTGCTCTCTGAACTTCAATTTGCCCATCTATAAATGGCCATGACAATAACGCCTTCTTCAAAGGATAGTTGTGAGGCTGTTCCAATAAAATGATGTCTAAGGAATTTAAAATGTAAGTGACTAACATTAAATAGGCACTTATTCACACCAGGTTCTGTGCTATGCTCTTTATTTGAATGATGTCATTTAACCCTAAAGACAACCCCATGAGGGAGATACTATTAGTACCAATACTTTATAAAAAGGGAAACTTGAAGTTTAGAAGGGTTAAATGACATGCTCAAAGTCACACTGCTGGTGGCTGCAGGAGTCAGGATTCAAATGTCTTGAGTCAGGAGTCTGCCTGTCTTCAGAGGCCCCGCTGTTAGCCGCTAGAGTTCACTTTCTCCGTAAGGAGGTATCTCAGAGCCAGTAATGTGAGGGACTGTTTGCATTCAGTGAGTGGCAGGCTGGGGCAAACTAACTTAAATAAGACCAGGAACACCTTCATTAAGTCCCTTGCTGCCCAAGGATCAGCTTTCCCCTCTAGAAATGGTCTGTTTCTCTATTCTAGTGAAATAGTTCTGTTCTTCCCCAGAATGGTCTCCTCCCGGTCCCCTGAACGAACTGGGCCTTGTCCCACCCTCCTTCCACAATGGTCTCTTCTTCCCAGCTACGCCCTCCTTCTGCCAGCAATTGCGTTCTATCTCACCGTTCTCGGAGGAATGCTCTCGCCCACCCACCCCCGGGTTGGTCATTCCCCACTTAGAACGGGGCGCTCTTGGGTTCCCCGCTCGAGGCAAAGCTGGCTTGTCCACCCGTCACTCTGGGAAAATGAACTCGCCCCCTCCCGGGCGCCCTCCGGACGACGCTCACAGGGTCCTTGGCCACCGTGAAGAGGAGGTCTCCCTCGCGGTTGTACTTAATCTGCGTAATGGACCGCTCATGGCCCTGCAGCAGGATCGGCTTCTGTGGGGACAGGACGAGAGTGTCAGCGCCCAGAATCGGCCCTTGTCCCGGCCCCGGCCCCCCACGGGAACACCCCCAACCCAGAACTCACCATCCCTGCGCTGACGCCGGGAAAGAGCAACGTGAGTAGGACCGGAAGAGGCTTTGACGCCACTTCCGCATTACGGGTCTCCGCCCCATCGTACCCGGAAGTGGATCAGCGTTGCCATGGCGGCGTCTCTTGGTGTGTTGACTGCGCGTCCCCTCCGTGGGCTTCTCACAACCCACGCCCCCCAGAGCCCCTTACCCCAGAGTTCATTTCCTACCATCCACTTTCATTCCCTAACTCAGTCCCCTCCTACAACCCCAGACCCCGGCTCCTGGACCCATCTCCCCGGCCTTCCAGGGTCTGTCCTACCCGCCAGTCGCACCCGGGGCATCGGAGAGCGAAGGGAGGCTGAGAGGGCGGCTAGCTAGGGAGGGGAGGCCGGAGGCGGCTGGGCCGGGCGAGCGGCCGTTTGGTGGCGGGGAGACGGTCACTCGCATCTTCATCCAGGGCAGGTGCTGGCTCTGGTGCTCGTGGCCGCTCTGTGGGGTGGCACCCAGCCGCTGCTGAAGCGGGCCTCCTCCCGCCTGCAGCACGTTCATGAGCAGACCTGGGTCCGGCAGTTGCTGCAGGAGATGAAGACTCTCTTCCTGAATATTGAGGTGCGTCTGTGAATGACCTATCGGGGATAGCGGCTAAGAATTGGTTTCCTAAAGTGGGGAAGAAAAAAAACACGAAATAAATAAAGAATTTGGTCTGGCCCTGGCCGGTGTGGCTCAGTGGTTGAGCTTGGACCCATGCATGCACCAAGAGGTCGCTGGTTGGATTCCCTGTCAGGGAGCATGCCCAATCCCCAATGTGGGGCATGCAGGAGGTGGCCAATCCATGTTCTCTCTCATCGATGTTTCTATCTCTCTCCCTCTCCCTCTCCCTCCCTCTCTCTCTCATATCAATAAAGAAAAAAAAAAGAATTTGCACTCTGGAGAGGAGTCAAACAGGTCTGTGTCAGAGTCTGCACCCTGCCACTGACTCACTAGAAGCTCTTGGATAAGTCACTTGTTTTTCCTGAGCCCCAGGAAAAATGAGAATACTAATGGTAACCATCTTGCCCTGGCTGGTTTGACTCAGCAGTCAGAGCTACGCCCGCGGACCACACAGGCCCCAGTTTGGTTCCGCTAAGGGCACCTTCCTCAGTTCCAATTTGCCACTCGATGTGTCTCTCTCATGTCGATGTTTGCGATGTTTCTCTCTCTTCCACCTTCTCTCCCTCCAGCTCTATCTCAAGATAAATGCAAAAATGTCCTTGGGTGAGGATTAAAAAAATAATAATAATGGAAACCATCTTATAGGACAGTTGTGAAGATTAAGGGAGGTGAGGCACATACAGCACTTAGCATTGGGCCTAGTACATAATTAGTGCTCAATCTATGGCTGCTATAATATTTTATTATGGTGATTCAACAGACCTTTCCAGAGGGAGGGCTTAGGGCTCAGGGCTCAGATTGTCCCTGGGGAGGGAGAATAAGGAAGGATATGGAGAATGACCTCTGACCCCAATGCTGCCAGTCTAGGTTTGTGGGAAAGACAAGGCAGACACAACCACCTCTCAGGGCTCAGGGCTGAGAGAGGTACAGAATAAGTGTTGTGTGAGATCAGAAGGAGGCTGGAGTGAGGGGATATGGAAAGGCTTCTTGGAGGGAGTGACATTGGCATGCAGGATGGGGAGGATGGGAACTAGCAGAGCTAAGGGAGAGGGCATTCAGGGCAAAGTCAGTAACTTTCCCTCTGCCCTGGAAGGGTCCTTTTCAGAGGGCTTGTTGCTGCCTGGGTTCTTACAGCTATTTCTATCTTCAAGGAAAGGCATTATCTAGAAGGTCAAAGGCAGTGCTGGCCTAGCCGGTGTAGCCAGTGGATTAAGCATTGTCCCATGGACTGAGAGGACTGAGAGGTCCTGGTTCGAGTCTGGTCATGGCACGTGCCACGGTTGAGGGCTTGATCCCCAGTATGGGGCATGCAGGAGGCAGCTGATCGATGTTTTCTCTCTCACATTGATGTTTCTATCTCTCTGTCCCACTGACTGTGGATTTCTTCTGTTTCCAGTACCTGATCCCCTTTTTCCTCAACCAGTGTGGCTCCCTTCTCTACTACTTCACCTTGGCATCAACAGGTGAGTCTCTGGCATAGAACTGCTGTGCTAAGTGGTGGAAGCCACTCATAGGTCGTTTTGGGGAGGGTGCCTGCAATACCTTGTTTCCATGAGTGAAGGAGAGCCCACTATCTCTGGTTCTCTCTGTATCCTCTTCTCTGAGTGGTGGGGGCAAAGTGGGCTGGTTATGAGTACACTGCCAGGCACTAGGGTTGGTTTGAAGCCTGGCCGCTTTGTGCGGCAGTGGAAGAAGAAGGACGGTTCATTTTGCAACTTATTTCATCTGTCTTAAGTCCTACATAGCATGACAGCATAGAAGGATTTGAAGCCATATGTTACCTAACATTTATGCTATTGAACTTTTTTTTGAGAAGTCCCCTTGCTATAGCATCACCTATCCTGGAGTCTCACCCAGGCCTGCCAGGGACTTGAGGGGAGTTTGGGCCCCCAATAGCTTTGGAGTATCCCTCAGAAACCGTGGGAGGGTGAGGGGGTAGGCCAACCTCCAGACCTGCCACCTCAGCTAGAGTCATTCTGCTTTCATCTATTTTACATTTTGGGCTTCTCATAATGCTTCATTTAAAAGAAAGTTTGAGCCCAGCCGGTGTGGGTCAGTGGATTGAGCATTGGTCCCATGGACTGAGGGCCTGGTTCAATTTCCAATCAGGGCACATGCCTGGGTTTTGGGCTCCATCCCCAGTAGGGGGAGGCAGCCAATCAATGTTTCTCTCTCACATCAATATTTCTATCTCTCTCTCCCTTCCTTTGTCTCTAAATATACATACATATAAATATACATATATAAATATATATATATATATTAATCCTCACCCGAGGATAGTTTTACATTTATCTTCAGACAGAGTGGGAGAGAGACACATTGATTAGTTGCCACCCACACGACCCCAACCAGGGCTGGGGACTAACCGCAACTGAGGTATGTGCCCTTGGCCAGAATCGAACCCGGGACTCCCTGGTCCACAGGCTGATGCTTTATTTTGTTTTTTTATTTTTTATTTTTTTTATCCTCACCCGAGGACATTTTTCCACTTTTGGTTCAGATAGAGTGGCAGGGAGAGAGAGAGAGAGAGAGAAACATCGACGTGAAAGGGACACATTGAGTGGCCGGGGACAAACTGCAACCGAGGTACGTGCCCTTAGCGGGAACCAAACCCCGGTCTCTCTGGACTGCAGGTCGACGCTCTAACCGCTGAGTCAAACCAGCCAGGGCCAGGCTGATGCTTCAATCGCTGAACTGGCCAGGGCATAAAAATATATTTAAAAAAATAAAAATAATAAATAATAAATAAAAGAAAGTTCGAAAGCCTCTGGCACTCTGTGTGGCCCAAGAATGCTGAACCCTCTGGCCAGCTGACTGCACTGAGCCATTTACCAAGTTTGAGCAAATTGCAGGATCCAGTTCTTATCACTTACTCTACCTCTATCCTTTAACATCCACCCATTCTAATCAGAATAGTGGTCACTATTAAGCATCTACTTCAGCCAGGGACTGTACATGCATTATCATATTTCATCTTACAACAACCCAGTTGTAAGAAGATGTTATCTTGCTGTCACTGTATCAGGCTCAGAGCGTCTGAGTGACTTAACCAAAATTACACAGGAAAACTGATGTTTTACTCAGTCCAGTGCCCTTGCTCTCCCATCGACCTCTCCCATATGCTGTTGCAGACCAGTCTTTAGCAGCCATGGCATTCAGTGGAAGGTGTGTAAACTTAAGGAAGCAGCTCTGAGTAGGTAGGAGTTGTGTCCATTTCTTGGATGAGTATTGCCAGTAATGGTGGGACCTCGGAGGGGATGGGGAGTGAGACAGTTCTTTCCTCCTCCACCTGAAGCGGGTGAGGCCTAGGAGAGCTGGGAAAGGATGTGCTAAAGAGCCCACATGAGCCTCCAGTCTGCCTGGGAGTCTTGTAAACAGGTAACTCAGCTTCTGATTTATCCATTAGTATTTTGTTTTGTTTTGGTGTGTGTGTGGTAAGAGCACGACATGAAATCTACCCTCTTAGCAAATTAAAAAAATAATAAATTTAATTTTTTTTCTTTATTGATTTTAGAGAGAGAAGGAGAGAGAGAGAGAAACATCGATGAAAGGCATTGATTGGCTGCCTCCTGCATGCCCCCTACTGGGGATCAGGCCCACAACCTGGGCCTGTGACCTGACTGGGAATCGAACTGGTGACCTCTGGTGCATGGGTTGATGCTTAACCAATGTGCTCCACCTGCTGTTTTGGGTTGTTCATATCCATTAGTTCAGTAAGAGCACAACTTTGGAGTCAGGCAGACCTTGGTTTAAATTGTCAATTTGCCTCAATTTATGTTACATCTGTGAGCCTTTGTTTTTGTTATCTATGCAAAGTGCTCTTCTTGCAGTGTTGCTGTGAAGATTAAATGAGATATGTACACAAAGCACCTAGCATATGATATGTGGTTAATAAATGGTGGTTGTGATTGGTATTATTGCAGTCATTCTGCTGCATCTTTTGGGCTTTGGGTGCCTGTCTGTTCAGATGGCCTTGAGATATTAGCAGGTCTGTTTGAATGCAAAGATCTCGTACTTATCAGCAAACCAGGGTAGTCCTAGACTTTGTAGTTCAGGTTTTTATGCTGGAGGTAGCACTGAATTTGGAGTCAGGAGACCTGGGTTTGAATCCTGAGCTTTACTGTGACTCATCTGGGAAATGGAGTCATGAGATACCTATTTTATTCTTAAAGTTTTTTAAAAATATGTTTTTATTAATTTTTAGATAGAGGGGAAGGGAGAGAAAGATAGAAACATCAATATGGATTGGCTGCCTCCTGCATGCCCTCCACTGAGGATTGAGCCTACAACCCTGGCATGTGCCCTGACCAGGAACCAGTAATCGCTTGGTGCATGAATCAATGCTCAACCACTGAGCCATACCAGCTGGGCTCTAGAGATACTTTATTTATTTATTTATTTACTTATTTATTTATTTATGGTTAATCCTCACCCAAGGATTTTTTTTTATCCTCACCTGAGGACATTTTTGCATTTTATCTTCAGATACAGCGGGATGGAGAGAGAGAGAAAGAGACAGAGAGAAACATCGACATGAAAGAGACACATCGAGTGGCTGCCACCCACACAACCCCAACCGGGGCCAGGGACAAACTGCAACTGAGGTACGTGCCCTTAGTGGGAACCGAACCCGGGACTCTCTGGTCCGTGGGCTGACGCTCTAACCACTGAGCCAAACTGGCCAGGGCCCAAGGATATTTTTTCATTGATTTTGGTTATTTTTTTCGATAGAGTGGAAGGGAGGGAGGAAGAGAGAGAGAGAGAAGCATTGATGTGAAAGAGACACTTCAATTGGTTGCCTACCACACAACCCCGACTGAGGCCAGGGATTGAACCTGCAACGCAGGTACATGCCTTTGACTGGGAATCCAACCCAAGACCCTTTGGTCCATGGGCCCACACTCGAACTGCTAAGCCAAACCAGCCAGGGCAGAGATACCTTATTTATTTATTTTATATGTTTTTGTTGATTTTTTAGAGAGAGAGGAAGGGAAAAAGAGATAGGAATATTGATGAGAGAGAGAAACATCGATCAGCTGCCTCCTGCACGTCCCCTATTGGGGATTGAGCCCGCAACCCAGGCATGTGCCCTGACTGGGAATCAAATCGGGACCTCTTAGTCCATGGGATAATGCTCAGTCCACTGGCCACAGCAGCCTGGTAATACCTTTTTTATTTATTTATTTAATTTCTTTTATTTTTTTTAATTCTCACCCGAGGATATTTTTACATTTTATCTTCAGGCAGAGTGGGAGGGACAGAGAGAGCGAGAGAGAGAAACATCGATGTGAAAGAGACACATTGATTGGTTGCCTCCTGCACAACCCCAACTGGGGCCGGGGACTAACCACAACCGAGGTACGTGCAAACTGACCAGGGCTTATATTTTATTTTTATTTATTTATTTTTTTAAGCAAAAGGATAGTTTATTGGAAAGATAGACAGACTCCCCACAGCAGGGAGGGGACCCAAGTGGGTTGCCTCTGATACTTTTTTTAAAAAGGCTGTCTAGCCCAGCTGGTGTGGCTCACCGGTTGAGCATCCACCTATGCACCAAGTGGTCACTGGTTCAATTCCCGGTCAGGGCACATGCCCAAGTTGTGGGCTCAATCCCCAGTGAGGGGGTGTGCAGGAGGCAGCTGATCAGTGTTTCGCTCTCATATTGATGTTTCTCATTCTCCCTTCCTCTCTCTCTAAAAATCATTAAAAAAAAAAAAGCCTCTCTTGATGAAATGAATGTGTTTTGTGCTTAGAAAGGCGTTGTTTTTTTTGTTTTTTGTTTGCATCTCAGTGATTCTTTTCAATCTGATCACTCAGATCTAACCCTAGCTGTGCCCCTCAGTAATTCTCTGTCCATCATCTTCACACTGATTGTCGGGAAGGTCCTTGGAGAAGATATTGGTGGAAAACGTAAGTCAGGCCACTGTAGGTGTGGGCAGCAGCTACTTGGCCCTTGACATCCCTGGTTCTTTCCCAGAGCCATCTCCCATGGGTGGGTGAGGAGAGAACCTTCCCCCAGCCCTGCACCAGCTCCTACTGTAATGGCTGGGCTCTGATCCCCTCAATTTCTACCCATTATCCCAGGAACATTTGCAGGCATGGTGCTCACCATGACAGGAATTACACTTTGTATCACAAGCTCAGTGAGCAAGACCCAGGAACAACTGTCTACCCTTTGAGTGGGCCAATGCCACCCTCCAGTTCTGCTCTCTTCAGGAAGCCCCTTGGACCAGGACGTACAGCAATGAACAGATGGACCTAGCACTTCCTCCCTGTGAGCCTCAGCTTCCTCATCTCTTATGGAGATAATTGCTACCTCATGGAACAAGAGTGAAAGGGTTTTGTAACCTTCAAGAGCTGTTCAACGTTTAGCACAAGAGACTTCACACTCAGCCTCAGCAACCTTTCGGCCCCAGCAGCTCTCTTCCCCCTGACACATCAGGCCTGCTGTCCCTGTTACTATGGCCTGATATGGACTGTCACAGCAGCAGGGTCGAGGGACTGCAGAACCCCAGCGGCATGGAGAGGGCCTGGTCCAGTCTTTGAGCCAGGAATGCAAACAGGAGGCCTCCAGGACTCAGTCAGAAAGCCTTAGCTGGCAGTGGGGGAAACTGAGGGGAGGAAGTTGCCTCAGAATGGCAGATGTAGGAGAGATAAGCTGTCTGTTAGCCTTGCAAGTCCCACTCATGAGGTGGGTGGAAATCCTCAACTGTTTGCCCCTCTCAAACAGATAAACACCTGTGAGACCCAGCACTGCCTTACGCCGGCATTTGGTGCAATGCCTGGCAAGTAGTAACTTGTAATAAATCTGTAGTAAACAGATAGAGGTTAGTAAGTATTCTTTTATTGTGACACAGCCACTCCCAAGTCTGTGGTCTCTCCCAAGCTCAGCTGGCTACTCCTTTCTCTGGCCAGAGAACCCCAAGAGGAATGGCCTCCAGGGCTAGAGCTGCTCTGCTCAGAGAGCAAAGGAAGACTGGGGAGGGTCTGAGGGGGCCGAAGCATAGCCTATGAGCCCGGGGAGGCACGGGTTCCTCTAGAACAGGCTGCTGGGGGCGGAGGATAAAATGTGGCTGCAGAGTGGTGGTCCCCACTTCCTGGCTGGGGCTGCTGGCTCTCAAGATGGCAAAGCAGGGGCTGTGGAGATAGCTGCTCCAGCCCCAGGCTGGTTTTCCAGGAACAGGGCCTCTTCCACTATCTGTGCTGCCCTCTGGAGGAGGAGGAAGGCCATAGAGAGGGGAACCATCAGCATCTTATATCCACCCTTCAGCCCTCAGCTGTTTCCCAACCCCAGGAAAGAAAGAGACCAGGCCTGTGTGACTCAGGGGCTGAGCATTGACCCATGCACCAGGAGGTCCCCGGTCAGGGCACATGCCCATACACAGGTCCATGCACATGCCGGATTGCAGGCTCAATCCCCAGTGTGGGGTGGGCAGGAGGCAGCCAATCAATATTTCCCTCATCGTGTTTCTGTCTCTCCCTCTCCCTTCCTCTGTATGAAATCAATTACAAAATAAAAACATATTTTAAAAAATTAGGATCTGTCCTCTCTATTAATAAGGTAGGAAGTGGGGCTCTGAGATGTTAGGAGATCTCAGTCACAGGGGGAAGAACTGTTCCTAGGACCCAGAGCTGACAGTTTCTGTCCAGCTCAGAACTCTTCCTGTCCCAGCCCACCTGATGCAAGGGTTCCTCTGTCCGGATGTCTTCATCATCTGCTACTTCCTGGGCCCCTTCTGTCTCCTTCCTTGGGTGGGAAGCCCCGTACACTCCCTTGACTCCTGATGAGGGGGACATCAGCGGATGCCCAGGCTGAGGAGCTCTCAGCATTCATTCCCTTGACCTTCTCTACCAGCCCCTTCCCCTCCCCTGAGCCTTGCTCCTCGTTCCTCGTTCCTCATTCCTCATTCCTCGTTACCTCGGAGGGTGGCAGGGAAATTCAGAAACGGGCCTTGGGCCCCTATCCCAGTCCCTTCCAAATCCCACTCCCAAAGCCTCATTTCTTTGAGTTTCCATGTGTTTCTTTTCATATGCCAATTCCCTGTAAAGAGAGAAGGGACTGGCCTTGGCTGGGTGGCTCAGGTGGTTGGAGCCTCATCCCGTACATCAAAAGGCCGCAGGTTCAATTCCTGGTCAGGGCACATATCTGAGTTGCGTGTTCAATTCCCCTGGTTGGGGCGTGTACCGGAGGCAACTGATCGATGTTCCTCTCTCATATTGATTGTTTTCTCTCTCTCCTTTCTCTCTCTAAAATCAATAAAAAACATATCCTTGGGTGAGGATTAAAAAAAAGAGAGAAGGGGAGAGAGAGACAAGGGACTGGATACGCACATGGGAGACAGCTCTACTGAGGTCAGGGCTAGCTCTGTATTTGGGCATTCTGCCCTCATGGACCATTCCCACAACAGCAGGGACCATCCCCTGTCCCAGTGAGAAGGTGGGTGAGAAGGGCATGTGTCCCGGGGTCCCTCACCTGATGAAAATGAGAAAGTGGGGAACATGCTTCTTGGCTGGGTAGCCTGCTGGCGTCTGGCATAGAAAGCAGATGGCTCAGTTTGGCTTGGTTCCTGTGGAGAGGGCTGGGTTGCCTGTGCCCTGTGGCCATGGGTCTGTGGAGAGACATTAAGCTTGGGCCACCAGCACTGGTTGTTCTTACCTTCTCTACTCCCAGTCCAGGTTTGAATGTCCCTGGTGCCTGTGGGAGCTTTGAGAGGAGATGCTGTCCATCTTCATAGCCTGCATCCTTCCTCTCTGCTTCCTCTTCCCATCAGGCTGCCTTACGCAGAAACAGAGCAGCTGGTGCCTGGCATTCAAGAAGCCCAGGGAAACCAGGCCGCGTCTCCCTGCCCCCCATCCAATGTTCACTGGCTCATCTCATGGGGCAGCTCAGGTCTGGGATAAGGTGGGGAGATATAAGCTCCTTTGGACCCTGCTGTGTCAGATATGCCACTTCTCTCTCAGCATCGAACCTGGACAAAAGGCATCGGGTCCAGGAAGTCGGAGTCTGGAAGATCTTCATAGAGCCTGAATGAGCTGACCTGCAGACCAGGTTCTGGTTTGGCCCCTACCACTCAATAACTGTCACCTTGAACAAATCACTTCACTCCTTTGAACTTCAGTCTCTCCTCTGGAAAATGGGAATAATAAGCTCTGACCAGATTACTGAGAGCAGCAGTGAGATAAGGGGAGAGCCTGGGCTGGAGGAGTCAGCCAGTCACTGTCCTTCCTTCCTCTACCCACTTTGGCCTCACACATCACCTACCCCCTGCTTGTGGTGCCTGGACTTTGGGTCTCGAGGATGCCTGCAATGAAAAAGAAAAGGTTTGTAGTAGGCAGAGGAGGACGGGGAGTCAGGGTGGTTTCCTCTGCTCTAACCAGCTACCCCGACCTCACACATACATACCAGCAGCCCCTGGGCAGTGAGGGGCTAGGCACCAGCAGCTCCAGATAGGGGAGGGCCTTGAACTCATCTTCTCCAACAGCCACATAGTAATGGCCACTCACCAGAGCCTCCCTTGCTGACACTGAGAGCCCCTCCAGGGTGCAGAGTCTGGGAGAGAGAGGTGAGCAGATATGGGCTGGTGGACAAGATGTCTCTTCCTATTTGGCAGACTATGAGAGGATGGGCAAAGCTATTCCAAGGTACCCACCCTTTGGCCACAGGTCCTCTGGGCACCAGGGCCAGTCACCTAGGCTCTGCTCTGGATCCAAGAGCTGAGCTGGAGGGGCCTACCCTGAGGCGCAGAAGGAAATCCCACTTAGGGAAGTGTGCTTTCCCTTTGCCTTTTCATCCTCGAGGACAGAGGAAACCAGAAAAGAGGCTCCCTTGGGAGACTTTTGGGCCTCCCCAGTCCCCACACTCACTTGCACACAGCCCCACTCTGTAATTTGGCCTTCTCGGTCAGGAGCTTCAACACTCTTTCCCAGTCCTTGTTGGCAACCTCGGACAGCTTCAGGCCAAAGGGGGGACTTAACAGGTCCCCATTCCTGAATACCCTGGGACAGAGAGCAGCCTGGTAAGGGGAAGGGTTCCCAGAACTTCCTACGGGTGAAAGGAAGAAGGGTGGCACAGAGGCCAGAACCTGGTCCAAGAACCAACCTGTGCATTGGCCCGTTTTCACCATCAAGCATGTTGGACTTTTTATATCCCCACTAGGGACCAGGGGCTCCTGGAACAAACCCACTCACACTTTCTTGGTCTCACGGAAACAAAAATATATGCCCTTGCTCCTGACAGCAGCACTTACTGGATGGAACCTGCAGGTAGCCTCTGTCCAAGGGCCCCATCACCTGGGTGCTGAATCATGGGACGACCCTGAAACCCAAGTCAGGTGGAGTTGAGCACTTTGGTTAGGGGTGGTTCAGTCCAAGGTAGGTAGGGTGAGGGAAAGGAACCAGAATGCGGCAGGAGAGGGGGCAAGGAGGGATGGAACTGGTCATATCTTCACCAAAGGGTGCTTCCAACTCCCTAAGTCACTTCCTAACCCCCCTGCCCCATGTGTTTTAAGCTTCCTCTTTCCTTTGGGGACCACAGTCTGGAGATAAAAGTGACAGGCTAGGAAAGAAGTAAGGGATAGTGTCTTGAAATCTTATACCCAGGAAGCATAGCAGCTGTTACACAGTAGATGTGGAGACTGCCCCCATGGGACTGGCAGATTCTGCCCTTTCTAGGGCCCCTGGCTTCCCAGACCAAATTGGGCGCAATCGCAGGAGGGGTGGGAAGACTTACTGGTAGTCTGTTGCTTTTCCCATCTAGATCCTTCTCTCCAGGGGACAAATAGCTGGAAGGACAGATAGGTCACAGGTCATCTTGGGGAGCCTAGTAGCTTGCCAGAGTCGGCCCAGCTCACCAGCCATCCCTTCCCACTGGAACAGTCTCAGCCATCTCAGTCCAGAAACAGATGCAGGCACTTGAACCTGCCTTAGTGTCCTGAGCCAGGCTGACACAAACCGTAATGTTAAGGTAGAGAGAAACTAGTTCATTAAACATCCTACTGTATCTCAGACATTTTCTCATTCATGAGGTAGGTGGTTTTATCTCATTTTGTATGAAACTCAAAGTGACTCACCTAAAGTAACACAGAAGTGACAAAGCCCAGATTCTGTCTAGCACCCAACCCCTTGCTCCTTATATTACAGCAAGTAACCTCAGCTGAGAGCAGAGTAGGACCTGGAAGCCAGATGAGTTGGAAGCCCAGGTACTCAATTTATTCTCCCATCTTGGAAGACACAGCTCCACCACGCAAAAGGGGTGGCCCAGCCTAACGCACGGCACGGGATGCCTAGACACGGCAGGGTGGAGTGATGGATGAAATTAGTGTTTGGTAGTGGTAGAGGATCCAGTCAGGAAGAGCCTTTGGTAAAAGGGGCAGCCTACAGGAGAATGTTTTCCTTCCCACAGGCTGTGATGGACATAAATGTTAGTGTCAGACTTCAACTTGAACTGTGGCTCCACTATGTTGTGACCTAACTTTACTGTCTTGATTTCCCCTTCTAAAGACCACCCCCTTCCTAGGGTTGCTACACTCCAAGATAATGTATAAAGTGCCTGCACATACATAGTTAAGTACTGAACATGTGCTATGGCTCTTGCTGTTACCTCCCTCCCTAGGCTCTTTGACCAGCCCCAGCCTACTCACTGGAGCTTGCAGAATTGTTCAAAGCCAGCAGCCACATACTGCCCTCCGTTCTGCAGGTCAGCCAGGTCCGTGACACGGTGGCCATGAGAAGGCGTATATAGGGCACGCACAGCCAGTGGGGCCTGCACAACTGATGTTACCTCACCAAGGAAGGTCTCCAGGGTGGGGAAGCGGCGTTGAGTGACCACCAGCCGGTGGCCTGGGCAGAAAGGGTCCCCATTCCGGTATACCACTATCCTCTTGGCTGCCATACTGTATTCTCAGTTAGAGACGCAGAGCTGTTGCCAGGCAACTAAGGCATGCCTGGGAGCAGTGCCAATCAGAGGTGGAGGCCTGCCCTCTCACTAAGGAATGCAGGGAGAGCCTCAGCAGGAACATCTATCTACACGCAGGGTCTCATTCAAGCTGCCCTTGGTGGGAGCTCACAAGAGGAGAAGTGTGATCACTATACATGAAGGAAGATGCGGGGGCTCAGTGAGAGAGGCAGTGGTAGAGATCACACTGAAATACAGATGGTCCAACATTGGTTAGAGGGAGGGTTTCTCAGAACCTCCCTGCCACTCTACAGTCCAAGGGCTGAACTCAAAGAAGGATCATCTTTGGGGGCTGTTGCCCAAAGATGGCTAGTCAGCTCCCAGCCAGCTCTGGGGCACATGCCCCAGGCCAATAGGAAGTGACAGGAAGGCTCGGAGTCTGTCCTAACCACAGGCAAAAGATGAATGCAACTAGATTCAGAATCCAAGAAAAAACCTTTATTCTCCATCAGGTCTCCCACTTTATGTACCCATAACTCTCCTGTCCTGAAATCTGGATTGAGCCACAGGCAGAGGATGAAAGTGTTCTTCTCCCTCCGCTCCCTGTACTGGTGTCAACTCTTTGCTCCAGCTTCTCTTGGCCCCACTGGCCTCCCCTGGCCAGGGGCAGGGACAGGAGGTAGGGCTGGAACTGGGGAGCCAGGATGAGAACCTGTCTGTCTCCTTGCCCTTTCATATGATCCCCCTTTGGACCTGAGCCTCCCTGGCTCCTGAGTCTAGTCTGGTGCCCTGTTTTCCTGCCCTGCCAGTGGTTTTCTCCTATGCTTCTGACCCTGTAGAAGAAGAGTTCTCAAGTGGCCTTGATCTGCATGGTCCAGTCCTCTGGTTTTTCCATCCTTCAGAGCTAGGCTCATTAGAAGTTCTATCTCTGGTGCTTTTATTTCTTGGGGTCTGGCCCTTTGGTGGTTTAGTCTTCCAGAAATTCAGGCTACCATGTTCTGCAAAAGTTCCATCCCAGATGACACGGTTATCTGAGAAGCCCAACTCTTGTGGCTTAGCTCTTTGGTAATCAGGCTCTTTGTGGTCTGGCCCTCTGGGAGACTTATTTTCAATATCTGGGTCCGCAAGGAGTGTAGGCAGCTGTGTTCTGGCCTTTCCAGAACAGTGGCCCTTAGGTTTGAGGCCTTTGTGGATCTGGTCCTCCAGTTTTGTCAGATGTAGGCAAGTCCCTCCAAAGGTCTGTTCCCCATGGTGTGGCTCTTTGGTGATCCTGTTCTCTACGGCCTGGTTATGTGATGGTATGGGCAGCTGTGGCCCAAGCCTCCTGCGGCATGGGTCCCTATACTTGGCCTCAGCAATGGTTTCATCTGTAGCAGCCAGTCTTTCTGGGGATTTGTGGGGTTGTGATTTGAGCCTCCAGCAAGAGTCATCCACGTGGTCTTGTTCTCCATTGGTCCTGTCTCCGTAGCAGTGATCTTCCAGTGAGGGGTCTGATTGTGACCCAGCTCTCTCACAGGCCTGATCTCTGTGGTCTGGGCTCACCTCTGGGGATCTCAGTGTTTGTTTGAGAATCAGGTACTGTTGGGGAGGAGAACAGACACTGTACCAGGCAGGCCTGCATGGACATAGCAGGAGGCTTTTCCCTAACTGCCACCCTTGGCCCTAAATGTGCACAAAGGGCCCTGGCTGGTTTGGCTCAGCTGTTGGAGCATTGGCCTGTGGACCAGAGAGTCCCGGGTTCGGTTCCCGCTAGGGGCACCCCCCTCCAATAAAATAATTTAAGAAAAAAAAATTTTAATGTGCACAAAGGGCTCCAAGTTAGTGCCTACCTTCTTACGGCTATTGATGGCCTGCTGTATCCACAGAAGTTCCATGGCCAAGTGGCTGTGGTGGTACTGGAGTTCCTGGAGCTCATTCAGGCTGTGGGGCAGTCCTGGACCTGCAGCTTCTGTAACAGAGAGAGGGAAGAAGGGAGAAAGCCTTGAGGGGTAAACACTGAGCAATGGCCTAGCATTTGACCCTGGCACCCTCCCCCTGCCCACCTTTCACCATTCAGGTGGGAAAGCTGAGGCCCAGAGAGGGTTAGGGGCTTGCCCTGATCTAGGCAGAGAGGTACCTGGGTTCTCCATCCTTGAGAGATCTTTGATCTTCTCTTGGCTAGGTTTCCTGGTTTTCCTGCTCTGCTCATCCTGAAGCCAGGGGCTGTCATCTCTGTAGCAAAGACTTTCTGAATTTGCTGAGCTCTCTCCTAATTTCTTCAGCATCATCTCCTCCTGGATAGCCTCTCTCTCAGGCTCCTCACATGGGAAGCAGCCCCATAGTTTCTGCTCTGGCTTTGGTACCCTCTCTCCAGATTTCCAGGACCGATGGGATTTTGCCTTCTGAGAAATCAGTCAGAGAGGTATGAGTGCCCCAAGGCTAAACCCTCTAAGTATCTGGGTGCCATGATTTAGATTACAAGTTGGTGGGGATTCAGGATCGGGGTGTGAGGAGTTAAGTCTGCTGCCTCTTCCATTGAGAAAGGCTTGTCAGCAGGAAGAGTGGAGTTTACCATTCCTTTGAATCCCCTACCCAGGTCCCTTCTTCCCCTGGGGCGTGTACTACCTGTGGGAGAAATCGGGGTCTGGGAATCCAGCCCTCAGTCCACTGTAGTGTGCCCACATCACCCTCGATCTCTCGTACAATAGCCTCATACTCGGCCTGTAGACTCTGGAACTGGCGTCGGACCAGGAAACCCCGGACGCAGGCCTGGTGTGGAAAAAGAGGGGAAAGAAAATCCTCATCACTGCAAAAGTGGAGGCATCTTTAAGGATTCTCCTGGGGAGGTTATCCCGGTGGCTGCAAGAGGGGGCCCAGCCACGGGGAAAGAATAGGTGACGCTGGGGCTCTGGGGCTTCAAGGGAGCATGTTGGACTGGCTCCCTCTCTTGGATTTAAGGACCTTTCCAACCATTTCCATGATCCCGCATGGACGTGGGGTGGGAGCGCGTGTGGTCCGTGGGTCGCAGCATTTTTCAGGGCGATGGGGCGGGTCGGAAACTAACCGTGATAGCCGGATCTCATTCCAAGGTCCCAGTCCGAGATCCCATGGGGGTGGTTATGTGCACCCCACGCCCGTTCCATACCTGCAGCACCACCACCTTCCGAACCAACTGCTCCCGCTCCATCCGGTGTCAACCGCCCGGCAGGCTGCTGGCGCCCACACAGTGCGTCACTGGTCCTCACCCGCTGGCGAGCGCAGACCCCGCCCCCCGCGCCGTCTCCACGGCAACCTGCCCTCGCGGCGCCGGGGCAGGACTAGTCCCGGCCTCCATCCGCCCTCGTCCGCAGGACCCGGTGACTCCAGGACACCCCGCCCCCGACCCCGGTGACTCCAGGAGCCCGACCTCCCACACCGGAAGTGTGTCGCACAGGGTTGTATCCGCCGGGCCGGGCGCTCCAGCCGAGTAAAGACGCAGTGAGGGGAGGGAGGACAAGGAGCCGCTTGCTTTCTTTCTGATTTAATTCCATGTAATGCCCCCCTCCCCATAGCACCTGGGGGGCTGCAGAATGCGCAGTCGATTCCATAAAAAGTCACAGTTTGAAGAGGGTGAGAGAGGGCAGGCTGGGCCTGGGTCCCAACCTACACAGCCGCCTGCTCCTCAGGCTCCGCGTTCTCGGCCAGGTGCAACTTCTGTCTGTGACTGTCAAGGACTGGATACTTTGGACCTCAGTCTTTCCAGCCCTATCTTCCCATCCTGCACAGGCTGTTTCCCCAACTGGGAAAAGGGGCTGCGTGAGGGATTCTAGGGTGGCCCAAGGTCTGAGGTTGCATTCCTCACCTGCCCTTCTTGCTAGGTGGTTTACCCCATTCTCTTTTCTAGATCATACCGATGTGTGCACCCTCACTATTTCCAACCAGGACTGGGTGGGGAGATCATCGAAATCAGTGAAAATAATTGAGTGCTGAGAGTAGGAAGACAGACAAGCTTTGCCATGGATTGGTGTCAGCTAAAGTATTTGCAAAGATGTTAATAAATAGGTAAAACATATTCCCTTTAACCACCTTTCTCCTAATAGTTGGGAAATTCTTCCTGCACTCTCTTTCCTGGGTGGGGGCAGTCTGTGGCCAATTCTGACTTGGTAGGACATGGGGATGTTAGTTGTGTGTAAATACTCCTAGAAGGGGGTGGGGAAGAGGAAACTGTTCTCTGGGAGGGGCACACACACACATTTACAGTCAGGTCCCTTTGAAAGGATACATAGAATTACTAAGATCTTCCAGCTATTGGGAGAGAAAGATAAGTTCCTGTCAGGAGAAGCACCAGGCCAAATCCCAGATGTTCTGGGTGCCATCTTCTAATGGTGGTTGAAGGGCCCAGAGCTCTTAGCTTCATGCACCCCCAGCTTTTCGCCTGAGGGCCAGTGGGAGTACATACCTCCCCCACTCCCTCATGCCCCCAGGAATCAAAGCATCCAGCCCTGACCCACATTGCTAAGCAGCTGGTCCAAGTTGCGGTCAGCCATGGTCTTCTTCTGTTCCTCAGGCAGCCCCTCAGCGTCCCCATCCTCTTCCTCCTCCTCTTCCTCTTCCTCCCCACACACGTCCAGGCTGAAGTGCAGCCGGGCCAGCTTCTCCTGCATCTCCCGAACGTGCTCCAACTGCTCAAAGGAGCATTCCTTCCCTGGACAGCACCTGTTTGAGTCCTGGGAGCGACTTTGGGACCTTGGCCCCAGCCACACACCAGAGACCAGGCCCTCCAGCCCCACCCACATACCCTCTAAGCCCAGCTCTCAGGACTCACCAAAGGCCTGTAGCCGTCCTGAGTGGAAATCATTGAGCAGGTTCAACAGTCCTCCCTCCATCTCATAAACATCAGTCACCTCAGTCAGGAACGAGTGCTGCAGGGGGGTGCCTGCAGAGCCACCCCCACCTCCTGCCAGCACTGGGCGGCATTTCTCCTTGCCTACCCTGGGTGGGAAGGACATGACCAAGGTCAAAGGGTGGGGGCGGCCAGGTCTTTTGTGCCATCTGTCTATACACCAATTCATCTTCCTATCCTCTCACCAACATAAATGGATGTTTTTTGTTCTGGCCCTGCACTGGGCACCAGGACTGATAAGGGACAGGAGCGGTGAGGAGGGGTGAGGGTAAGAAGTCAAAATAAGTCTTTTTCTGCCAATGATACAGCCAGAGCCATGGCTGGAAGGAGGTTCCTGGGTTCCTGGCTGAGCCCCCACTCATTCCTCCTGTGACCCTGAGTGAATCACTTGTCCTCACTGGTCCTCAGTGAATTTGGGGTCAGTTACTTATTTATTGCCATGAGAGCCATCTTAGCTTTCCCCAAAATATCTTTCTGGCCCTGGCCGGTTTGGCTCAGCGGTTGGAGCGTTGGCCTGCGGTCCAGAGAGACCCGGGTTCGGTTCCCGCTAAGGGCATGTACCTTGGTTGCAGTTTGTCCCCGGCCCTGGTTGGTCGTGCGGGTGGCAGCCACTCGATGTGTCCCTTTCACGTCGATGCTTCTCTCTCTCTCTCTCCCTCCCACTCTATCTGAACAAAAAAAAATGAAAAAATGACCTCGGGTGAGGAGAAAAAAAATATATATATCTTTCTGCCCCTCTTCTATTTAAAACTTTAAAAATTATTTATTTATTGCCCTGGCCAGTTTGGCTCAGCAGTTAGAGCGTTGGCCTACGGTCTTGAGAGACCCGGGTTCAGTTCCCGCTAAGGGCATGTACCTCGGTTGCAGTTTGTCCCCGGCCCTGGTTGGGTCGTGTGGGTGGCAACCACTCGATGTGTCCCTTTCACATCGATGTTTCTCTCTCTCTCTCTCTCTTCCTCTCTCTCCCTCCCACTCTATCTGAACAAAAAAATGGAAAAAAATGTCCTCGGGTGAGGATAAAAAAAAAAATTATTTATTTATTGATTTTGAGAAAGTTTTTTTTGTTCCACTTATTTGTGCATTCATTGGTTGATTTTTTTTTTCTTTTGTCCTCAGAAAGAGCGGGAGGAAGAGAGAGAGAGAGACATCAATGTGAGAGACACATCAACTGGTTGCCACCCACACGACCCCAACTGGGGCCGAGGACAAACCACAACCGAGGTACATGCCTTTAGTGGGCACTGAACCCGGGTCTCTCTGGACCATGGGCTGACGCTCCAACCGCTGAGCCAAACCAGTCAGGGCCCAGCCAGGGCCTTTAAAAACTGTTTTTGAATTTTCCATTGCCCTCAGAATGACACTTAATGACCTTCCCAGCCTGGCCCCCACCCTCAACCTCATTCTCCAATTGCATTTCTTCCTATTCCTGCCCCAGTTCTCAGCTTCAGGTAAACCCGCTGTGGCTGTCCCTAAACATGCCTCTGAGATAGGGGGTGTCAGAGCCATAGGGCAACATAGCAGTTGGAGAAAGAACACACATGAACATGTTAAAGGGTAGGATGCAGTTTCCCAATCATTAAAAAAATTAAACCATCAATGGACCTTGAGAATATTATGCTAAGAGAAATAAGTCAGTCATAAAAAGCTAAGAACCATATGTGGGATATAATTGAAACTCATAGACACAAACAACAGTATGGCGGTTACCAGAGGGAAAGGGTTGGAGTGTAGTAAAGGGTAAAAGGGGCCAAATATATGGTGACGGAAGATGCTCTGACTTTGGGTAGGAGGCACACAATGCATATACAGATGATGTATCATAGAAATGTACACTTGAAACCTATATGATCTTATTAACTAATGTCACCCCAATAAATAAATTTTAAAAATTAAGCAAAGAGCCCTGGCCAGTTGGCTCAGTGATTGAGTGTCGGTCTGCAGACCAGAGAGTCCCAGGTTTGGTTCCCGCTCGGGGCACAAACCACAAAAAAAAAAAAAAATTGCCCTGGCTGATTTGGCTCAGCGGTTGGAGCGCTGACCCACAGACCAGAGAATCCCGGGTTTGGTTCCTGTGAGGGGCACATACCCTGGTTGTAGTTTGTCCTCGGCCCCAGTTGGGGTCTGTGGGTGGCAATCACTCGATGTGTCTCTCTCACATTGATGTCTCTCTCTCTCTCTCTCCCTCCCTCCCTCTCTCCCTCCTGCTCTATCCGAAGATAAATGCAAAAAGAATTCAAATTGTACACCATAGTATCCCCTCACCGTTTCCTGCCCCATGACACCGAAGGGCCGCCAAACCACCTGTGGTTCCTGGAAATTTCCAGGCAGTACTTTTCTTCATACTTATGGCAGATAAGCCTTTTAAGATATTCTTCCTGTCCAGTGTACCCCCCAGCTTTCTTTGACTCACTTCCTGGCAGGCAGTGCTGCTCACTCCCTGCTTTGAGGTGAGTCATCATACTGTGTGACCCTCCTGGCCTTTTCCCCACACACTTGAGCAGGTAGGGACTGGGTCTGAACACTTGGATTCTTTCTTTCTTTTTTTTTTTAATCCTCACCCAAGAACATTTTTCCATTTTTTGTTTAGATAGAGTGTGAGGGAAAGAGAGGGAGAGAGAGAGAAACATCGACGTGAAAGGGACACATCGAGTGGCTGCCACCTGCACGACCGACCAGGGCCAGGGACAAACTGCAACCGAGGTACGTGCCCTTAGCGAGAACCGAACCCAGGTCTCTCTGGACCGCAGGCCAATGCTCCAACTACTGAGCCAAACTGGCCAGGGCAGCATTTGGATTCTTAAGGGACACCCCAGGGAAAGCATCTATTATTGCTTAGTACCTAAAGGCTAAGGCCCCCTTTACCTTCCTGCCCATGGGGCTCAGCCCAGATCTAGGGTCCCTCCCTCCTTGCCCTGTTTTCCTTCTGTACCCACCTCTTGAACTTGGCCCTCTGTTTGGGGGATGGCAGATGAGGGAGGCCTAGGGCCAAGGAGCCACTGTGGCTGGTGGGCACAGGGACCCTGCGGAGTGTTCCTGGAGCTGCAGTGGGCTGGGTTAGGCAGGGCTTGGGACTCCTTTTCTTCTTCTTGTCCTCCATTGATGCTGGATGGGCCTCAGGCCCTGGGTGGGAGGCAGCCCCACTGAGATGTGAGGGGCAAAGTCATCCGTTCACCTGACAACCTTTGAGAGCTGCAAAGGAAGGGCCCTGGGACTTTCCAACTATCCCCTCACATCTGTCAGGGCATCTGTCCCCTCATCTGTCCAGTATGGGCAGGGTCCAATGCCAGCACCGACTGTTGGGGTCATGCTTCTGTACCGAAGGACCTTCCAAGGCTCACCCAGGTCCCCACTGGTTCTCCAGCCCCGTCTGAAAGGGCTGCACCAGATACCATCCTCCGGAGGCCGGAGCTTCCTGCCCAGTAGCTGAAGGGGCGGAGCTGGCAGAGGAAATGTGGACGGAGGGAACAGATGGTGGTTGTGAGCTGGCAGGAGCTCAAAAGGATTCTATGGCCATGTTCTATTTATCAACTGCCTAGGCAATGAAATCTGACAAACCTGGGAGAATCTACATGGGAGGTGACCAAGCTGTGGGTGTGCCACAAACTAGCCACCAGAGGATGGATAACAGCAGAAGCTCTGGCATACAGGGCAGAGCTCAGTGTGGAGTTTTCCCCCATTTAGACGCTGGCATCCCTCCTCCTCCATCCAACCCCAACCTCAAACACCAGGCAACTCTCTGAAGTTCCCTGGGACATACTTCCAACTGCATCACCCTCCCCACTCAGAAAGTCCCTGCTTGGCTTCAGCTGGGGTGAGTGGTGGGCAGCAGCTGGCTGCCTTGGCCCCAACAATGGCTGGCCTGTGGCTGGCACTGCTCCGGCCTCCAGCCCAACTCTGCCCTCAAGCCCAGATCTGTTGAGCTCCTCCCCAGGGAGGTCTGGGGGCCCTAGCCAGGGGTCCCCCCCCCCCCCCAGCTGCTCCTTTCAGGCTGCTGCCACCAAGCCTGATTCTGCACTCTGGGTGGTGGTGCTGGGGGCATAAGCACTTAAATTGACACATGGCTGGCTGGCAATTAGTGGGTGTGGTGGAGGGGAGACCCGCGACAGTTTAGCCAAATTAGGGACTTGATAGAATAATTCCAGTGGGAGCCTCTGCTCCCCAGGAACCACTGGGGGCGACCTAGGATCTATTTTCCATGCTCAAGCTCTAAAACCGCGTACCAAATGGATCACGCAGCTCAGAAGCTAGGATCCCAAATGGAGTGTCAGACCCGTGTCATTCCGCCCCGCCACCCCTCACCCCTGAGACAACAGACCTGGAGGTTTGGGGTCTGGAGTGATTCTTCCCGTGTGTGTTCCTCCGCTTTCAGCACTCTCCTAGCAGGAACAGAGGGGTGGAAGCTGAGCTGGCTGGAGGTAATTTGCATTTAAAGAGAAAGTGACCTTTATTGCTGGTGGTGGGATAATATGGAAGGGCATCCTCACATTTATCATGCTGTCCCTCTCATGACTTTACCGCCCCATCTGAACAAGGTGACTGCGATGGTTGTGAGATGGCAATCTAAAAACCCTTTCATACTTTCCCACCAGTTTTGGAGAGAAACTAGTCTCACAAAATGGTGGCTTTGTCAGAAAGAAGAATGGAGGGAGAAGAGAAAGAGAGAATACGAATGAATATAGATACACACACACACACATATATTTACACATATATATGTATATATGAATCTAAGAAGTACCAGAAGCTGCAGCAGCAGGAAGAAACTTCAAGAGAAGACAACCATCTATCAAGTGAGTCCAGGCCCCTGTTAAGCACTTAGTCATTTAATCCTCTAACAACCCTGACAGAAGATACCGTCATCATCTCATTTTACTGACAGTCAACAATAGTCTTTTGAGGTCAATACCACTCTTTCCACAACACCCCAACACTCCTCACTGGTAAGAGTTAAGGGCTGTACTCAGTCACGGATGAAGTGACAGGGCCAAGCCCACCCCCTCCCGACCCCTAGGCCTAGGAGAACCAGGTGCAGACTGGAAACCAGCATGATTACCTGGTGCTTGACTGTAGCCCCAGAGGGAAACCTGAGTGGGTGATGGAGGCTGACCCCGTGCTGCTGGTGCTGCTGGGGGTGGTGGTGGTGGTGGTGGTGGTGGTGGTGGTGGTGGTGGTGGTGTGTGTGTGAATGGGGCAGCTATTTAAAGACCTGGCAGATGCTCCCAGCTCAGATCCTCAGAGAAGCATCTGATGCAACAGGAGACAGGCTTTTCCTTGGCCAGGTTGCCCTGCAGGCTCAAATTACCACCCTAGGGCAATGTACACAGCTGCCCCATCCACCTTCCCCTCCCACTGGGCAGGAGCAGTTTCCCAAGGCCTGGGCCTCAGGCTGAATTGGGGAGGGATAAGGCACTGTTTCTGCTTGCTCCTGAACCCAGCTCTTTCCCAGTTGCTTTCAAGCAGCCAGACTGCTCCTGAAGGGGAGACACTAATTCAGGATTTTTCCAAGCAGAGATCTGGGAGAGGGGTCTGTATAGGTGGAGAGGACAACTGGGAAGTCCCTCTCCTCCCCTTCCAGAACTGCTAGAGAGTGGCACCCAGGCCTCCTCTAGGAAAGTGACAGAGGGCCAGGAGCATCTACCTCTAGCTGCTAGAGGCATGAAGTTATTCTCAGAGCTGCTTTGCTCAGAGCTCCAAGAGTTATGGTGCCCTCCAGACACCCTCCAAAGGATCTTTGGAACCAACCTGACCAGCATAGAAAAATATCGATCCAGCCTGGCCGGTGTAGCTCAGTGGTTGAGCATCACCCATGCACCAAGAGGTCTGTAGTTCGATTCCTGGTCAAGGCACATGCCTGGGTTACAGGTTAGATCTCTGGCCCTGAGATGGGGGCAAGGGCATGGCGTGTGTGCAGGAGGCAACCAATTGGTGTCTCTCACATCTACATCTCTCTTTCTTTCTCCTGCCCCCTCCCTCCTTTCCATTCTCTCTAAAATGGGAAAAACAGCCCTGGTCAGTGTGAATCAGTGGTTAGTGTTGGCCTGAGCATCGAAGGGTCTCAGGTTTGATGCCCAGTCAAGGGCATGTTCCTGGGTTGCAGGTTCGATCTCCAGCCCTGGTCAGGGCACATGCGGGAGGCAGCCAATCGAAGTGTCTCTCTTACATTGATGTTTTCCTCTCTCTCCTCCCTCCCTCCCTCCCTTCCATTCTAAGAATTGATGAAAAAAATATCCTCAGGTAAGGGTTAACAAAGAAAAAAATAAAATTTTAACTTTTAATCCTCACTGGAGGCTATGTTTTTACTGATTTTTAGAGAGGGAGGGAGAGGGAGAAACATCAATGCGAGAGAATTATCAATCCGGTTGCCTCCCATACATGCCCTGACCCCAACCAGGGATCAAACCTACAACCTAGGTATTTCCCCAGACCAACTGGGAATTCAACCACAATCTTTTGGTGCACAGGGATGATGCTCCATCCAAGGGAGCCACCCAGCCAGGGTGAAACCTGTTCATTCTTAAGAACTGCATGCAGAATGTGGTCAAGGAATGCACAAAATCAAAGGAAAGGAACTTGGGAGGACCCTTATGGGCCAGTGCCAAGAGATGCTGCCCATGGCAGACAGCCCCAGATAGTAGTGATGTCCACTCACCTTAATTTGGACCTCAGTTGGCATGTGCTTAGATTTCTGCTGCCTTTGCTTTTGGCCTTTTTCATGGATCCTATCTATCTCCTACCTAAACACCTTCAGTGACCCCCCCTCCCCCGAATATAGTCCAAATTCCTTCACCTGGCACACAGGCTCCTGCCTTGTCTCCTCCACCACCATCCAGTGCACCCACATTGCTAGGTGAACCACTATTATTAAATGTTGTTGAACTTCCACCTGCCCTTTGGGCCACAGGCCCTTCCAGGGATCCACTCCTATTCCCTTGCTGAAGGGAGTATTCCCTACTCTGCTCCCAGAGCACCACCACCCTTTCTACATCTAAGTGTTCCTTTCCCCCTCACCAGCTGTGAGCGCTCGGAGGGCAGGGACAATTTTTGACTGAGTAAAAATCATCTCTGTTGCTCCTGTACAGTCTTCCCTCACCACTTCGTGCTTCTACTTTCACGGCTTCACTCTTATCCTGTTTTTTTCAAATATAGTAGAAAAAATTGTGAAAGTAGAAATGCCAAGTGGCGAGGGATGACTGTGTATAAAGAAAGAATCCTACTTCGTGGAAATTCATTTATCGCGGTAGAGTCTGGAACTGATTAACTGCAACAAACGAGGGCCGACTGTATATAGACCACCACGCCAACTTGCCAAGGGCTCCATTCAGGCAGCTCAAGTGAATTTGTGTGTCCTGAGCAGGAAGGAGGGCACTTTGGAAGATGCGGGGTATCAGGGCACAGCCAGAGACTTGGCAGCAGACCCAGACAAATCACTGATGGCTGGATGGACCCAAAAGTACCAAATGACCACAAAGGTCAGGAAAGAAGCAATAAGGCAACAGACTCTTTATTTAATATGGTTTAAAATACATCAAAATCAAGTCCCTGGCTGTTGTGAACACCTAAATGAGACCCCCCCCCCAAAAAGCGGTCAGCACAGTTTCAAACAAACCTGGGAAGCCAAGTTGGACCATAAGGGAAGCAGTTACAGGGACAGATGGCTGCACCACTCCCCCAGGCAGGTGCTTAGCTGTCCCTCGCTGGAGTGACCCTCTGTGCTGTGCAAAGTGGGAGGGCTGGAGCAGCAGCTGGAGAATCAGCTCAGCAGGCCTTAGCCCTCCCCCATAGACACCAGGGCAGCTCCACTGGCCTCTTGGTCAGCCTCAGCAGGGCCACCACAATGGGGTGGAGGAGGGGAAATAACCATTTTTATAGACATAACATTCTCTTACAGAAAAGTGCCTGAGCTCAGCCCATGGTCCAAAAACCTCATGGAAAACAAACAAAAAAGTGCTGCTGACACCTCTCAGAATCTGGTGTACATGAAACTCTCAGCTGGACAAGGTCCTGAACACAAATCACTGTCAGCAGAGCCAGGGCTCTGGGCTGAGCCTCACCTGCTGTGGTCCCGTAGAGGAAAAGCTAGCAATCTAAGAAACCAACACAGCTCTTGGTCCTAGAACTGAGGTCATGTACATGGGACCTGCCCTAGTGAGGAAGGCACTGACCTTCAGATAGGCCACATCCCCTGCATCTGGCCCAGGCTCCTGGCTGGTGTGGGCAGCACCCAGGTACCTGGGCTGGCTTTGGAAAGCAGAGCAAGCAGAGCAGCTGTAGTGATTAAGATTTGGTCAACGGAATTAGAGGAATGGGATCCCCATCTATAGCCGCCTGGCCAGGATGCCCAGAGCTAAGAGCAAAGGTTTCATCCTGCTCAGGGCCTATTATTTCTGACCTGGGAAGCCCAGCTGGGGCTACCTTGCTCACTGTAGCTCCACAGTAGCTGGACTTGGTTTCAGAGGGCTGCTGTGCTGAGTTCCCATCCCACCACACTGAGCTCCAACAGACCCCTCCCCCCAACCCCATGGGCTTTAAGAGGTAGCTGAAGTGAGGCAGGCAATCATATGTGGGCCACTGCAAATCTACCTGGTCTTTAAAGGGGGTGGACAGAAGCTTCTGCCTTTTCCCAGCACTTCCATAGCCTAGCAAACCCTCCCTGTAGGGCGTCTGGCAGCTCTTGTGCACCTCAGACTGGCACAGGGGCTGGGGGAAGGAGCCTTACTGGAACAGGAAGATGCATGTCCAGGGACCATTCTAGACTCAGGCATTTCAGAGGGGAAGAAGAGACCTTAGGAAACACTTCTCCAAAGGAGAGCAGTATCTCAGCCAGGGATGGTAAATAGGTTACAGCACTCAACACTGGCTGCTGAGGGAACCTTGAGAAATGAGATACCAGGGATGAGCAGGCAATACTCTGAAGCAGATTAGTGGTACCTACTATGGGGGCAGAGGAGAAATGGTGTACCTTTCATTTGCATCACTGGTCTGTCAGAACAGGGTTCAGGAATACTTAGTACTCTTCATGAACCTATTTTATGAGAGGGATTTAGGGGCTGAAAGAATGGGCTAGTTGTGCAAGATGAAAGGGCCTGTATGATAATGAATCAGCCTCAAGAAAATACACCAAGCAGCAGCTCAACCATCCTATTCACCTTCGTCTGTGGCTCCCTCAGCTACACTGAAGCCACCCAGCTGGAGGTGGGGTATAGTACCCCAAGCCCAGAAGAGTCCCACTTCCTGATCCAAATTCATCCTGTTGTTCTAGAAAATTGCTCTGTACAAGGACAGAAGAATACCCTAGACAAGTTTGCAACCAGCAGAACTTTCAGAGTATACAGTAACATGTAAGGGGAGGGGCGATTATGAGGTACTGGATGGGGACAGACACAAGTATCTGCAGCCATTTTGTGGATTTCTGGGGTTCAGTCAGTTGTTCTCATTCTTATCCATCAGTTGTCAGACAAGAGCTGAGGCTCCCACACTGGAAGAAATGGGATGTCAAGGATATATCTCAGCTCTTACTCCTTGGACAATGGAACCAGAGCAAATCTCAAGGACTGCACACTGGGAATGGGGGCAGGAAACAGAAACAGACTCATAAAGCCTCCAGGGATAGTTGCTCCTGGGGCTCAGCAACTGCTGCATGGAAACAGTGGTAATGGGAATTGGCGATTGGCGGTGGCCATCCAGGATTGTGACCCATAGGTAAGCTTCCGGTAAGGCCATCAGAAGCCCTTTCCTTCCTCTTACTACAGTTTGATTTCATCAAATAGGAAACCTAAGCACCAACATGACAAAAGTGCCAGGTGGGGTGGAGAGGGTGGTGGGGCACTGGAGGCCAGGAACCAGGCACCACTGCTAGAGTCCTCCTCCTCCCTCAGAAGATCCTCAGTACAAACACTGTCATGTGCAACAAAAACAAACCTTCAGAAAGAATCCTTTGGGTGATCTCGTCAATCATTTGTGCAGGCTAGAGAGGCACCTGTGAATGATAAGGCTACTGAGAAGCATCATTGGCCTAGTCCTGGCACTACCACAGGGCAGGGGAAGTGGTGCCCAGAGGGCTCCCTACCAGCACATCATCCCACACAGAAACATTCTCCAAATTCCTTGTCCTAGGCAGGAAAGTGGTTTGATCACCAGCTCTGAGTGCCCTGCCAAGGCTCTGCCTGGGGACCCCTTTTCCAGGTTAAGAAAAGCAAAGGAGCTTCCAGGAGAGCTGCCCAAGTCCTGCTAACAAGAGAAACACAGTCAAGGCCTGGGTGTGTCACTTGTCATGATCCCTGAAGGGCAGGGAGGGGAGGGGTCTGAGCCTCAAATCAGGCAGGGAAATGTTTAAGTCACTTGTCCTGCCAGGTCACTGTGAAGGCGGCTACAGATGATGGCTCCTCTTTGACTCTTCAGTTCACAAGAGTCACTGACTTCATCTGTACACATCCATCTCCATCCAATGCAAGCCTATTTTACACTTATGGATATAAATGTATAAGGCCTTGCACGTCATATATATGTAAAACTGACCCATGAAATTCAAACTGCAAAGTGTCATGCCAGCCAGGTCAGAGCACCCTGGGCCTCAGCAATGGACTGCTTAGCAGTGGGAGCCTTGCACGGGCCAGGCCTGGCTGGGCTGCTTGCTCCCTTCCCAGCATGCCCCCAGTGCCAGGCTACCTAGGCGGTGGTGGAGGTGGGCTCCTGGGGCCCTGTTTGGCCTGATGCTTCTGTGCTTGGTGCTCCAGGGCAGCGAGGAGCTTCTGTGGCTCCTGGAGAGCTAGGTGCTTGGGTCCCGGGCCCCTCACCACCTTGCTCCTCGCCACCCTGCTCCTTGGAGGCAGTGGCAGCCTCTGGCCTTTGCTCAGGGCCACTGTCAGTGAGGGAGCCTCGGCCACCAGCACTCAGGTCCTGTACCCGCTTGTTCAGGTCATTGCGCTCTGTCTGCAGCGCCCGGCACAGCTTCTCCAGCCGCTGGGTTTTCACCTGCAGGCCCTCCAACTCTTTGTCCCGAAGTGTTTTCTAGGGAGAGAAAGGGCCTTTTCAGTGTCATGCCATAAACCCTCCACCTGACACTGCTGCTTGGTAGAAAACATTCACACTTGAACACTGGGAGCAGACTGGAGTCCAAATCGCCCCTTTCAAGTAAACAGCTGTGGTTTATGCCAAGACTTGCCTGTCAGTTGAGGGCAATGTGGTGTAAAGAGGGGCATGACTTAGAGGCAACGTATTCCTCCACTTATCCACCACAAGACCTTGGCAAAGTACTTGCTCAGATAGTATTTTGAGCCTATCTCCTTAAACTCGTCTACTAACATCAACCTCACAGAGCTGGAGGGACGGTTCGATGAACTGGTCTGGCTGCAGTAGCTGCTCTAACACTGAGTTCCTTTCCTCTCCTACCTCTCAAGCCACAAAATCAAAAGATCAGGGCCACTCCGCACACAAACTACACTCATCGTTGGCACTCCTTGATTTTCTTTATTCTCTTTGCTGCCACTGTAGGCCTATGACTTAGCTCACCACCTCCCCTGGGGAGAGTTGGCAGTGCCTTGGACTCAGATAGACATGCTCATCTCCACTTCATGCTAGGGACATCACTCACTGCTAGAACCACAGGAAATGGCCTGATACTCAGTAATTGCACACTCTGCCCCAGGCTTCCGGGCGCACTCAGCCCACCTCCTCAGCCATCTCCAGCAGAGCCTTGTTGCTGCTCTCCCAACGGGACCGGTACATGGTGGTTTCTTTCTCCAGCTTCTTGATCTTCTTAGTCATCTGGGTTATGTGACAGGCAGAGGAAATGGTCAGGGCACAAGACTGTCTGTATCTGTGTCCCTAAGGTGGGGAATGGTCCCATGGGGGCAGGCAAGGCATTACACGACACAGCCAGTGCCTTCTGTGCCACCTTAGGACCTCTCAAGTTAAATGCTCAATGCCAATAACAAGAAATGACGAGACAGTCCATTCCCCAGGACAACCCGGAAGGTGCACATACCACTGATACTTCCTTGAAAGGGAGGAAAAGCTGGTATCCTTCCTTACAGTCCCACCCTTGGTCTCAATCACACAATTACTGTAAATAGTTCCCAGTGAGGTACCACATTCTAAATGAAGCGGCTTGTGCCCCTGCAGCCACACCCAGCCTGGACCAGTGTTACCTTCTCCATCTCCTGTTTGAAGGTGGTGAACACCTCACTGCTTTTGGAAAGAGTGTTCTGGAACTCCTCAAACTTCTCTGTGTATAGAGCAAGCTGGGTGAGAAAGAAACCAAGTAAGACTGAACTTTCCTGGAGAGCACTTCTGGTCAACACACTCAGACCCATCCTTGGCCCTCTGACCCAACAATTCCACTGAGATACCCTTTTTTTTTTACATAAGTCTAGAAAGTAGGATTTAGGGTGATATATTTTACCTTTCTTTTCAAATGTTTCTTCTGTAATTAAGTATAATTTATAGAATTAAAAACAACCATCTGCCCCCACCTCCTCAAAAGCAACACAACACTTCTGACTAGGAATGAAGTCCTTTGAGCTCACCTAGCCACCTGGTCACCACCACACAGGTGCTGGGCGGGTCCAGAGAGAACAAAGACTCAGCAAGGTCACACAGCAGTCAAGGTAGTCCTAGAATGAGGGTCCCAGTTCCCTCCCCGCAGGACAGGGCCCAGTGAGGAGACCTAGGAGGCACAGGGTCAGGATACACACTATCGCTCACCTGCTGCTTCAGGTGGGTTTCCTGCTGCTTCATCAGCTCACACATCCTCTGGGACTCCACTGCCTCTTTGAGGAGCTATTTCCAAGATAGGACACCAGACCCCATCAGAAGCCCCAAGGGGCTGTGTTTTTTTTTTGCCATATATACCGGAACCCACTGAGACTTCCTGCTCTCCGTCTAGTGTCTGAGGAAGCAGTGCCCAGGTCTGGCCAGGCAAGCAACCTTTCCCATACCAACTGGACTAGGAGCTGAGCCAGAACCCAACCTACCTCTTCCAAGACCACCCCCAACCCCAGGGCCTGAGTCTCACAAAATCCTTCTCCCGCTGGTGCCTCTCCTCTGCCTCCTTCAGCATCTCCTGAGCCTGCTGGAGCTTGGCGTCCACCAGCTGTTGCTGCAGGTCCTTGTGTTTGAAGACTTTGTCGATATGCTGCAGAAAGCACGGTGGGAGGGGTCCACCCATCAGAAGCTCCATTTCTCAGGGAGGCCCAGTAGCTAGATACCAGGGCCCCCCTGTCCCCCACAACCCCCAGCTCAGCCCCCATCTCAATCTGACATGCTGGACTCACGTGAACCATAGAACATGGGTCCCAACCTCACCTTATATCTCTCCCACTGAGTCAGTCCTGGGTGATCACAGGGGTTTATGGATGAAATCAGCTCCCAGGAAGCAAATTAATAAATACTCAAATCTCCAGCCCCAAGAGAGACCAATTTATTGGGCTGACAACCCTCACTTTTGTAGCCCGTCTCCCTTGTAAGTGGGAAGAAAGGGCAAAAATGACACCTGTGCCAACAGCTTAGCTCTAATGGCAGAGCTCTGTCTATAGGTGAAGATTTGATAGCCCAAGGACGGATGTCCTAACTGCAGAAGACCTGGAAACTGGGATGGGGATAGAGCGAAGATGATGGACTCAAGTGCTACCTAAAAGGTAAAAGCAACTGCATAAAGGGGTGTAGAAAATTTTGTGTTTTTTTTTTAACAAGAAAGGGAAGGTGGCTTGGGTATGTGTCTAGTTTGGGACATGATGAATTTCAGTCGTCTGTGATCTGAGGCTCAGAGTGGGTAGGACAGCAGTGTCTGATTCCAACTGGGGGTGGGGTGTAAATGAGGGACACAAGACTTGGGGCCCCACACCTCTACCTCCACAGGCAGTACCAATTCTTCTTTTTTTTTTTTTATCCTCACCTGAGGACATTTTTTCGTTTTTTGTACAGACAGAGTGGGAGGGAGAGAGAGAGAGGGAAACATCGATGTGAAAGGGACACATTGAGTGGCTGCCACCTGCGCGACCAACCAGGGCCGGGGACAAACTGCAACCAAGGTACATGCCCTTAGCGGGAACCGAACCCGGGTCTCTCTGGACCTCAGGTGGACGCTCTGACCGCTGAGCCAAACCGGCCAGGGCCCAATTCTTCTTTTGCCTTGGGTTGAAGCAGGGTGGGGGTCAGGGGGAGAGGAAGAGTCCTCCATGTCTTTCAGTGCTGAGGGACAAGAACCAAACCAACTCCCCTCAAACCAAATGCATCACAAGCAGCCTTATTCCTAGATGACAAAAGTATAGGAAAAGACAGGGTGGGTCAGGGGAAGCCCCTCTAGGCTTTGCACACAGTGACTGCCACACTGGACTGTGAGCCCAAGAGGGCAGGGTCTTGCCTATACCACCTATCACCTGTCACCACAGCCCCAGGGCCTAGGAAGAGGCCTGGTCCCAAAGAGACACAAAGGAGGGATTCAGGTGCCCTGGGAAGCAGCCAATGCCAGCCAAGGCAGTGACATCCGGCCTTTTCTGGTGGCAGGGGCAGCAGAGCACCAAGGAATCAGAGGGCATAGCCTTTGGAGTCACTGGCCACAGGGCCAGCTCCTTCCCTGTAATTTCACATTCTAAAAAATTCTGAAAACTAAAATTGTTAGAAGTTGGCAGACAAACTTGACCTGTACCTTTGTACGGCTAATTATAATCTAGGTACGTATACTCAGTTTAATTGAATAAATATTAATGTGTCTGATTTGGGGATGCTGCCATAAGCAACACCCTACGGGGGGGTACTATGTGATACACAGTACATGAACATTATTTTCATTCCAATACTTGGGCAGTTCTAAATCTACAAGATACCTGGCCCTACCATTTTGGACAGATATTATGGACCTGTGCTCATATGGCTGTGGGCTATTCTCTTTTCCTTACCTCAAATCCTTGTCTACATGAAGATGTACAACATTGCTCCCCTCCCAAGGAAGAAGGAAGAATGGGAGAATGAAATGAAGCCTCAAAAGTGCTGTCCCAGTGCCTGCCACACACCCAGAACCTCCCAATTCCCTGGCCATGGTGGCTGTCCATGACACCTTACCTCCTCTCGTAGCTCATACTGCTCAATCAGCTTCTTGAGCCTCTCAGCCAGCTCCATGTTCTCCTGGCGCAGCTTGGAATTACGCTCATTGTGCTGCTCCATCTGTAGCTGAATGTCATTCAGCGTCACCTGGAAGTGTGAGGTCACCTCCTTGCGTTTCTCCTCCTCCTCCCGGGCCCGCTGCACGCCTTCTTCCTGGGCAGAGAAGTCAGCCCCAGCTCCATCATCTATTGCTCCCCAGCCAGCTTTACCAGGCTCCCCCAACTAGCTCAGGATGGTGTCTATCAATAGTCCTCCCTGCTCTCAAAGCGAGGGGTAGCCAAGCTCCAAGATGTCACGCAATGGGGGCTCCTAGCAGACCCTTCTGTATCTCAGGTGGCACCAAGTGAGAGATTCTCTCCCTAGAAAAATGCAGGCATACATGTTAAGTGCCATTCTGAAGAACTTTCAATTTCCTGAAACCTAGCTTCTAGACCTATTAAATAGTCTCTTTTCTTTATTGACTTTTTAGAGAGAGAAAGGGAAAGAGGGAAGGAACGAGAGAGAAAGAAACATTGATTTGTTGTTCCACTTATTTATGTACTCATTAATTGCTTCTTGTATGTGCCCTGACCAGAGATCGAACTCACAACCTTGATGTATCTGGGAAGATGCTCTAAACAACTGAGCTACCTGACCAGGGCCTTAAGTAGTCTTGTTTTAATGGGCTTGCATCTTTGACACCTCCCCCTACCACCAAGTAATTAGATTCAGTAATACCCAGGGGATCGGCAAAATTGTGCAGAATTTAGGCATTCAGATACTGTTAGTGGGAAGGAAATCTGGCAAAATCTATTAAAATTTAAAATTTGCACACTCTTTGACCCAAACATATCACTTTTGAGATTTATCTTATAGATAAATTCTATGTAATTACCAGGAATATATGTAATAAGAATTCTCATTGTAGCTCTCCATATATAATAATGAAAAATTGGAAACAACCCCAAAATACCTCAATGAGGATAGGAACAAAATACAATATCCATACAATGATGTTGTTAAAAAGAATGAGATAGGTGTATATACACTGACAGGGAAAGATAAGGCATTGTGTACAGTGAAAAAATGGAATAGGATATGAAACAATACATGTGTAATACTTTCATTTAAAAAAACTGTATGTAGGGTTTTATATGTAGATAGGGAAGTTAAAAGGTTGTACTTAAACTTACATATTAGGTTTACTTCCCTGTGGTTTCTGCTGGGTCTTAGGGTTGAAGACAGTGGGTGACTATTACCTTTGATGTACTATACTTTTGTCACCTTTGAACCCGTCACATCAAACATAATACATTTTGTAACATTTTAAAAGACAAACTAAAGACTAGCAAAGCAAGTTGCAAAATACCATACATTTACTGATCCAAGTTGTATGAGAAATATATAAAAGCTATATGTACAAAAATGACCTGGAGGTCATAGCAGTGACCAGGCTTTAACCAGAGTAGCCTCACCCTAGGATAGACAGAACAAGGAGAACAGGACCCATATTTCTGACTGACCAACTCTTGAGAGCAGAGCTGCTGGTCGGCACTGGACCACAGCTTACCCGGGACTGCGATAGAATTGAGAACTCCTGAAGGCCTGCAATCTGGGTTCTCTTTGCTCCTTAGTCTTTACCTGACCTAATACAAGTACATGTCAAATGGTTACAAGTAGTTCTCACTAAGGCAGGGCATTACCGGGGAAATCTATTTCTATACTGAGAGCCTGTGCTAGTTTTTAAGGGGAAAGCCACTAAAGATAAGTGGAAGTCAAGGTAGCCAGTTGTCCTTCTCAGAGGGCCCAGCCAGCCTACCTTGAGGGAACGGTTGTGGCGCTGCAACTCACGGCACAGGCTCTCAAGCTTGCTGCGGGCCAGGATGGCCTTGCTGTGCTCACCACGCAGGTGGTCCTTCTCCTGCACCAGCTGGCTCTGCTTCTTTTGCAGGAGCTTCATCTGCTTCTGGGAGTTCCGGTGCTCCTCCAGCTGGGGAGAGGAGGGCAGGTAAATGCTCTGTGAAGCTCTGAGCTGACCTGATCCTGGCCCTCTCCCCTGACTCCAGCCATAATAGCTCAGGTCGGACACTGTGTGGGTGCTCCATTTGCTCTTCACAAAAACCCCAAGAGCCCCTGCACCTCAAGGATACAGAAATGGACACTCAGACACGAAAAGCAGAGGTATGCAGCCAGTATATCCTGGTCTCTCTCCCAGCTCTGACTCCAGAGACAAAGCTCTCAAGACTCTCATAACCATTACACTGCTCCAACTCTGGGGACACTCATGCCTTCTTATGAGACCACAGGCTACTCATCTTTGTACTCATCAACAGACCCCATCACTCCCTACTCCAAGACTTTTAGCACTGGTGCACCATTTCTTCAACACAACTCTTATCATTTTGGCCTTTTTTGTTAATCCTCACCCGAGGATATTTTTCCATTGATTTTTTGATAGAGTGGAAGGGAAGGAGGGAGGAGGAGAGACACACACACACACATTGTCTCCCACACGACTGGGGCCGGGGATTGAACCTGCAATCCTGGTACATGCTTTTGACTGGGAATTGAACCCGCGACCCTTTGGTCCTCTGGCCAACGCTCTAACCACTGAGCCAAAAGTCAGGGTTCATCTTGGCTTTTTCATTCATTACTGACAGACAATCCTTCTGACTCCCTGGACTCACAGTCCTTAACCTCCTCCCTGAACCTGTCCTCTCTCAGCTCAGATCTATTTTCTATGAGCCTATTCATGCTGAACAGTACACAGAATGCAACTCAAGTATGTAATTATAACTTTCCAGTGGCCACATTTAAAAAGTAAAAAATAGCCCTGGCCGGTTTTGCTCAGCGGTTAGAGCATCAGCCTGCGGTCCAGAGAGACCCAGGTTCAGTTCCTGCTAAGGGCATGTACCTCGTTGCAGTTTGTCCCCGGCCCTGGTTGGGTCATGTGGGTGGCAGCCACTCAATGTATCCCTTTTATGTCGATGTTTCTCTCTCTCTCCCTCCCACTCTATCTGAACAAAATATTGAAAAATGTCCTCGGGTGAGGATAAATAAATAAAATAAAAAGTAAAAAATAAAGTTGGTGAAATTAACTTCTAATATCAGAATATTATAATTTCAACCTAGAATCAATGTAAAAAGTTTGAGGTATTTTACAGTCTTCCTTTACCTTAGGTCTGTAAAACACAATGTGTACCTTATACTTATAACTCATCCAGATTCAGATTAGTCACATTTCAACCGGCCACTGTCTTCACTCAGAATTGCACCCACCTCCATGATCTCATCCCAAGCCAGCACCACCACACATCTTCCTAGTTCATCCCCTCCAACCAATATCTGTGGTCTCAGAAGGTCCAGCTTACATTCCTTTCTTTTCCCAGAAAAATCTCAACTCTGGTATATCGACTTCCTGCTTACCTGCACTGGCACTGGAGCAGCCCTTGTTTAAAGAATCTCACTTTATTTATTTATTTATTTATTTATTTATTTATTTATTTTAATCCTCATCCGAGGACATTTTTCCATTTTTTGTACAGACAGAGCGGGAGGGAGAGAGAGGAAGAGAGAGAGAGGGAAACATCGATGTGAAAGGGACACATCGAGTGGCTGCCACCCGCACAACCAACCAGGGTCGGGGACAAACTGCAACCGAGGTACGTGCCCTTAGCAGGAACCAAACCCAGGTCTCTCCGGACCGCAGGTGGACGCTCCAACCGCTGAACCAAACCGGCCAGGGCTAAAGAATCTCACTTTGACATTCATGACCATCACTGCCCCCTGGTCTGCCTACATTTCTCATGTTATTCACATTCTTCTTCTAGAACACTATTTCATTCTCCTCTTCAAATCTCTCCCGCCCAAGCTAAAACTACCATTTCCATTTCCTTGAGAACACAGAAGCAGCCAGAGGAGCAAAGGCACAAGCTCTATATTATCCAGTCCACCTATACCCATCCTCTCCTGGTCATGAGAACTGGTCCAGCTTTTAACCATGGTGGACTCCTGTGCTGGTGCAATGGACCTCACCTCCTCTTGGCCACTCAAGAACGTCATTCTAGCAACCCACTTCCTCCTCTCCAGCCATCATCAATCTTTCCAGGGCTGGATCATTCTGAAATGGTGGTATCTTTCTTATATCCTTTCCTTTATTTAATCATTATAATAACCCCATTAGGCAGGTATGATTTCCCCCATTTTATAGATGAGAAAAATTCCTTACAAAATTCCAGCTAATAAATGTGAATAGAATGAAATAATTTAAAAATAAGTTATTAGGCCTTAGCCAGTTTGGCTCAGGGGTTAGAGCATTAGCCTGCAAACTAGAGAGTCCTGGGTTTGGTTCCTGCTAAGGGTACGTACCTCGGTTGTAGTTTGTCCCCAGCCCTGGTTGGGGTCGTGTGTGTGGTAGCCACTCTATGTGTCTCTCTCACATTGATGTTTTTCTCCCCCCGCCCCGCTCTGTCTGAAGATAAATGCAAAAAAAAAGAAAAAAGTCCTCGAGTGAGGATAAAAAAAAAAAAAAGTTATTAGGCAATAACCTTCAGTAGATGAATCTATTCATTCAGATTTTGATAGGGAACCTGAATAATCTTTCATCTCTAAAAGTGGGATGACAGCCCTGGCCAGTCTGGCTCAGCGGTTGGAGCATCGGCCCATGGACCAGAGAGTCCCGGGTTTGGTTCCTGCTAGGGGCATGTACAAAATAAAATAAAATAAAATTACTACATGATCTGGGTGTGCCATAATTAAAAAAAAATAAAAATAAAGGTGGGATGACCACACTTTGTTTCTCCTGTGATCCACCTACAAAGAATTCTTGTAAGCCCTGGCCGGTTTGGCTCAGCGGTTAGAGCATCGGCCTGCGGTCCAGAGAGACCAGGGTTCGGTTCCCGCTAAGGGCGTGTACCTTGGTTGCAGTGTCCCTGGCCCTGGATGGGTTGTGCAGGTGGCAGCCACTCAACGTGTCCCTTTCATGTCGATGTTTCTCTCCCTCCCTCCCACTCTATCTGAACAAAAAAATGGAAAAATGTCCTTGGGTGAAGAAAAAAAAAAATTCTTGTAAAAAGAGCTGAACTTGGATTAAGCTCCTAAAGTTAACTTCCACTTTATTTACAGAAACTAAGGAGGCAAAGGAACAAGTTAAATGCCACCACGAAGCTACAAAGTGGGACACCCTACAAGACAAGTGATCTGCAATAAGTCAATGTTATGGGGAAAAGGGCAGGGCAGTAAGGGGAAAACTGCTTTGGAGTAAAGGGGGGAAAAAATGTCATACCAACCCAATGTTATAAACGGACCTCCTTTGGACCTTGATTTGATCAAACTGACATTTTTAAACAACTGGGGAAATTTGACTATGGACTGGGTGTTAAGAGAGTATCAAATGATTAATTTTATTAAGTGTGATGATGGCCCTGGCATTTTCCACATTTGGGGAAGATGCATACTGAAGCACATAGGGGTGAGATGACATGGTATCTAGGATGCAGGCCAGGAGCTAGGTCTCTGCCACTAGAACATGCAATCTCTCCTCTTATTGTCAGCCCAGAAGACAGTGACTGAGACTTGACCCCCTAGTTAGATGAGGAAAAGGCTCAGAGAGGTTGATCAGAGCCTAAGCCACCCACCTGCCCTTGTATCCCCAACCCCATGCTGGGTGGCCTGCTGACATTCCGAGGCAGAGAAGGTACAAGAAGAACGGGGAGAACTGACCAGTTCAGCATACTTCTTGCACAGAGCTGCCAACTTCTCTTCTGGGGTACTCAGCGTGTTCAATGTCTGCATCAGTAATGTAATTTCCTTTCCTGCAAAGTACAGGGAGCAAAGGCATGTAACCCCTCCTCTGGAGGTCCCCTCCAGGCCTGGGTCCATACTCTTCTGTCTTGAGACAGCCCTCCCCTATCATACTTTATATTTTTGTTTGTTGAACTGGTTGCTTTCCCTGCTAGTCTGTGGGCTTTGGGAGGGCTGAGACCAACTCAATTCTGCCCATCACTGTAGCCCAGTGCTGTCCCTAGTGCCCATAACAGAGGATATGCTCAACAAATACTTATTAAATCAATGACTGAATCTCTGTGGAATCTTCCTGGTGAGCACCAGGAATGGAAGAAAAAAAAGCTGACAACTCTACCAACAGATTTAAGAAAGGTGTCCCATCTGTGAATTCAGTACTACTGTTTCAATACAAGGAACACCCTCTAAAGAGGAAGGATGCAAAAAGGAATGAAGTGACAACTCTGGGAAGCTCCAAGATATCAGTGTGGAGACTGCAAGTCAGTCACTGGCACACAGACCAAATCCAACCCACAGATGGGTTTTGTTTGGCTCCTAGCATATCAGTTGCCAACTGTTAAAAATCTAGAGCTAGAATGTAACTCTGGCTTTTCTTAAAATAAAATAAAAAAAAGGCTATCTAGACATAGCCTGTAGTTTTACGTGCTATCAACTTGCTGGGAGCACATGGCAGTCAACCCTTTGGATGAAGTAGGCACTCTCTTGGCTAGCTTGGTTTAGTTGTGTTTTCAACCCTGATCTCATCTAATTCTCTTATTGTAGAGAAGTGACAACTAAGGACCAGAAAGGAGAAAAGCCTTGCTCACGGTTGCAGTTTAGAAATGATGCTGTCTGGCACAGGAGTCCACCCAGGCCTCCTGCTCTCCATTTTCTCAAAGAGCAGGTTGGATTTCAGTTCTCACTTGCTCCCAAGGCCAGAAGCCCTTATGCAGTGAACAAGCTGCACACCTCTCTGCGATGGTCTCACAGCCCTGGCTATGATTAAACTAGTGTGACACACTGCTCTGAAAAGCAGGGCTCCCTCTGAATCCTAGCAGAGCAGGGTAGCCCACGGAATGTCAGGTACAAACTCCCTCCCCTCACCAGCCTCACAAATAGTTGCCCTCTGCTCACCCAGACCCTTGGCTTTCTTCTTTTCCTGTGGCCTTCGGTGGTCTCGGTCTCCCACCTCATCACTTGCCCGGATCTCATCTGTGCCTGTCTCCCCCTTGGAGGTCTCCTTTTCACCATTGACTACTGGGGTCTCTGGCTCAGGCTCCCCATTCCTTGAAGCATAGGTCCGGGACTTCTCTGCATCTTCAGGTTCAGCAGGCTCACCCTGTGCACCATCCTCACCTGGGCCCCCCTGATTGTTGTCCACACAGTACGTACTCAGGATGTCTTCCAACTGGCGGCTCAGCTCCTCAGAGACATCACGGAGGGCCCCAGACTGAGAGGTTTTGGCTTGTGCTCCTGAAGCAGGAGAGGATAAGGAGCAGAGTGAGAAATAAGGTGGTTATACCACTGATCAGGATTTTTCAGGCCCGAACTTACTGGTTTGGGTTAAATGTTGCCTGACTTTTTTAAGCTCAATCTACCTATAAAATGATATGACTACTTCTCACTACCACCCACCCGTTTGCTTTGAGTAGAAAACAAATCACGTAAGCAAAAGATCCAGCACATAGAAATGGCATGTGGCAAGAGCTCAAAGGCTAGTCCACCCTCTTGTCCTCCCCGTGAAAATCACTTTTTTTTTATCCTCATCAGAGGACATTTTTCCATTTTTTGTTCAGATAGGCAGGGAGAGAGAGAAAGAGAAAGAGAGAGAAACATCGATGTGAAAGGGACACATCGAGTGACTGCCACCCACACGACCAACCAGGGCCGGGGACAAACCGCAACCAGGTACGCGCCCTTAGTGGGAACCGAACCCGGGTCTCTCCGGACCACAGGCCGACGCTCTTAACCACTGAGCCAAACTGGCCAGGGCGAAAATCATTTCTTGCTATTAAAATGTTCCAGAAATGCCTCAAGTATAAAGAGCAGCTACCGCCCTGACCGGTTTGGCTCAGCGGTTAGAGCGTCGGCCTGCGGTCCGGTCCGGAGAGACCCGGGTTCGGTTCCTGCTAAGGGCACGTACCTTGGTTGCAGTTTGTCCCCAGCCCTGGTTGGGTCGTGTGGGTGGCAACCACTCGATGTGTCGCTTTCACGTCGATGTTTCTCTCTCTCTCCCTCCCTCTCACTCTATCTGAACAAGATATCGAAAAATGTCCTCGGGTGAGGATTAAAAAAAAAAAAAAAAAAAAAAAAGAGCAGCTACCCACTGGTGCATGAGGTGTTTCTAATCTGGACTTGCAGGGTGGGTGTCTCATATGACTGCCACCCGATGAATCCTGTCAGAGCCTTCTCTCAAGTTTTATTCCTGTGCTTAGAGTCCAAGACTCTACCCTAGACAGGGTGGGGGTCGCACAGACTCAGTACTGTCCTCTTCTCATTCTACAGCTCCTTCTTTCTGGGTAAACAGGGCCTCTAACTCCAGAAGCTAGACTGGCTCACCACACACTCCTCCCCTCGCCCGCTGGAAAAGCAGAGCTGGCACACACCCTCAGTCTTCCCTGGAGCCTGGCTGGTGGCACCTTCAGCTTCTGTCGCAGAGGCCGACTGGCTGCGCAGCCCCTGGGCTCCCTCTGGTCCTACTTCCGCCGGCCCCGAGTTGCTTTTTGGGTTGGAAGTGTTGCCTGATTGCTTGGCAGTCCCATTCTTTTTGTCTTGATTCTTCATCGTGGTTTGCAATGCTAGGTGAGGAGCTGATCCTACAAAAACGAACACACTTGCTATTTTCCAGACTTCGAAATTCTTCTCAGCCCGGACCAGAAATCCCAATACCGAATGCACAAAGCTCCTAAAAACAAACTGGCCGGCCTTCCCCGGAGGAAACCAACGGTTCTCCCTGTCTCTGGCGGGTTAGGGGAGCCTGGTGTGCCCAAACAGGTTTTTGGGGTGCTGCTCCAGGAGCGAGGGAGGACAGGCCTCCTTTTTCCTGAAGCCTCTTCCCGGCACAACGGGGCCCCCTCAGGATCTGCCAAGCGCGGGATAGGCTCCCGGCCGGTGACTGACGTGGCGGGACGCTCTCGATTCTTGATCTCTCCCCCGCCTCCCGGGCCCCACGTGGGCACCCCCGCGCGCGCGCGCACACAGCCACCCACGCCCCGCGCGCCCTCCCACCGCGCGCGCCGCCCGCCAGCAGCCCGCCCGCACATGCGCAAACATCGGCCCTGCCCCCGGCCCGAGCCCTCGCGCGCAATCTGCATGATTCTTCCCACTGGCTGAAAGCGCTCAGGTCTACAGACCCTCTCTGATCGCCTCGTCCCTCTAGCCGCCGCGGTACGGACCCCACTACCGACGTCCTGACGGATCGCCCGCTGTGGCCTCGCACCGGAAACCCTGGGTAACCGCTGCCGGCAGAGCCTGCTCCCTGCAGCCAATCAATAGCCCGCTCTCGCGCGGGGCTTGCTGGGAAAGATGAGGAACAGCAGCCTCTGAGGCGGGCGAGTTGGAGGGCGGGGAAGAGGGGGAGGAAAGGACTACATTTCCCTCCGTGCATCGGGGATGACCCCCAACTCCCAGGATGCAATAGAAAGGGCTTTCATTCTAGGAGCCACATACTCCGGAGTTCCGGAAGGAGCAGGTCATTCTGCACAAGGATCGACGTTAACTTCGTGTCTATCGTAGAAGCTATGGTTCAGCTCTGGAAGCTTAACGCCTGGATCTTCTTTCTTGTACGCCTCCACCAATCCTTCCTCCCTGCTGTGAACATGTATGCCAGCCTGGGAACTGAGGATGAGGGAGAAAATACTGGGTTGGGAACCAGGAGAATTGTATTGCAGCCCGAACGTCATCACTGAATCGCTACGTGACTGGGCATTCTTTTCTGTCCCAGGGACTCAATTTCCGTGTTCACATGGAAGCTTTCAATAACAATAGTAGTTCTCTGAGCACTTACGGTGTGCTTTCCCGTTATCTACTAGCTTAACTCATAACTACTCATCAAGATAAATACTATTTGTTATTCCCATTTTACAGCTGAGGATGGTAAGGCAAAGGTTAACTTGCCCAAGGTCACATCGCTATTGAGCGCTAAGAGCAGGAAGTCGGGCACCAGCACCCATCTTAACTACTGGACTACCCTGCCTCTCACCCAGAATAAATAACCATGGTCGGCTTTCCCTGAGGAGTCAAGGTAAAACTTTGTGAAAGTAGGATATATTTTTTCCCTTCTCCAATACCAGCATGAGCCCTTCTTTGGAAGGAGCTGAGAGGACCTTGGAAGAAGTTCAGCCTCAGCAGATTCTTGAGCCTTTTCTTTGGCCCACCCTCCACAAAGAAAGTTCTATTGCACTGGGGATAAAGGTGAAAAAGCCACTTTTCTCCAAATGTGAGATCACAATTTTTTATACAGTTGCCTATAGATAATGGAATTAAATAACAAGCCCACACTGCCTTTCTGTGTTGTTGCTCCAACTCTACTTTTACTATTTCCAGGACTTCCCAGGTTTTTGCAGATGCTATTATTCTAGCTTCCAAAATGCTTTTCTGGCAAAAACACTTTTTGAGGCCCAGCTTAAAGGTCACTTCAGTCTTCCATTGCTATGCATGCAGTGTGTCCTAGCTCCCAATGTCTGGATAGAGTTCTATTACAGCTTTGAGTATTGAAATTATTTGCTTACAAATCAATGAACATTACAAGAACTGTTGGTTAAATCCTCTAGTTCTAAAGTCTAGGATTTCTGGGGGCAGAGAATGTTTTGTTGTGCAAGTCAGCATTGTTTTAGGGCTCTTAAGATGTGAAGTATTTTTCCCATTTAAGACTCTTGGGTAATGGTCTTCCCCTTCTATTAGGCAGCACAAGTTGATGTTTACCAGGTAACATTGAGAAGTAACGTGGTATAATAGGATAATGGTGAAACCCAAACCCAGAAAGGTTTGGACTCCAGGTCTCAGGAAACCAAGGCCTGATTATTTCCAGAAAAGCATGTTGGAAATTTGTTGAGGTAATACATAAATCAGGCCTTGATGAATTTCCATAGGAAGGTGTTCTAGGCTGCTAAAGAACATAGGCAAGAACAAAGTGAGGGGTGGAGCAGTTTAACAAGGATCAACAGGGACCAATTGGGTAGTGAGTGGATAAGTAGGCAAGGAATAACACAATTTGGCCTTGACCAGCGAGCTCAGTTGGTTAGAGCATCATCCTGATACGCCAAGTTTGGGGGTTTGATTCCCGGTCAGGGCACATACAAGAATCAACCAATAAATGCAATAAATAAGTGGAACAACAAATTGATGTTTCTTTCTCTAAAGTCAATTAATGAAATTTTATTTTAAAAAAAAAGGAAGTCACAAAATTTGACAACATGGGTTAAAAGTTAATTTCTCACCCTGGTTGGTTTGGCTTAGCAGTTAGAGCATTAGCCTGCAGACCGAAGGGTCATGGGTTCAATTCCCTGTCAAGGGCACGTACCTAGGTTGCAGGTTCATTCCAGGTCGTGAGGGAGGCAACTGATCTATGTGCCTCTTCCACACCAAAGTCTCTCTCTCTTTTCTCTCCCTCCCTCCCTTCCACTTTATCTAAAAAAAAAAAAAGGAAAAATGTCAGGTGAAGATTAATAAAAAACAAAAAGTTTCTCCTTTGCTATCAAAGAAAATAGTAACAATATTAGAATCTGCCAGGGTCAGGGAGACCATTGGGAATGGTGGTGATTGTGGTCAAATAGGCTCTTTGAGATTGTTTTCAAGCAGAAACTCTGGCTAGTAGTGCCAAATGTTTTCCAAGACAGTTATCTTGATTTTTAAAAATGTGCCCTGGCCAGTTTGGCTCAAAGGTTTAGAGCGTCAGCCTGCGGTCCAGAGAGACCTGGGATCGGTTCCAACTAAGGGCACGTACCTCAGTTGCAGTTTGTTCCTGGCCCTGGTTGGATGGTGCAGGAGGCAGCCACTCTGTGTCACTTTCACGTCGATGTTTCTCTCTCTTCCTCCCACTCTATCTGAACAACAAAAATGTTGGTGCCCTGGCCAGTTTGGCTCAGCAGTTGAGCATCGGCCTGCGGACCAGAGTGTCCCGGGTTTGGTTTCTGCTAGGGGCCACGTACCACAAAAAAATAAATAAATAAAAAAATGTTGGCGATGTATTAAAACTTAAACACACTCTCATTTAACCAAAATCCTTTTTTTGTGTTGAATCAACTTTTTGGCTGCTTGTCTGTAATCTCTGCTTTAGGAATTGGTCTGTAAACTCTATGACCTTAATGGGCTCACTAAGTTATAGTGACAGAACGCAGACCAGTGGTTGCTGGGGGCTGGATGAGAATTCCTAAGGGGCATGCAGAAACTTCTAGAGGTGATGGATATGTTCACTGTCTTGATTAGGTGATGGTTTCATGGTTACATATATGTCAAAACCTATCAAATTATATATTTTAAATATGTGCCATTTACTGTATATCAATTATATTTCAATAAAGCTTATTTTTAAAAACATCTTTATAGCAGGAGTAGGCTGGTGCCTTTTTTTTTTTTAAATCAATTTGTTTTTGTTACAGATGTTTCTCATTTTTCCCCCATTGACACCCTCCTCTCCTTCACCCCAGCCCCATCCCCAGCTTTGTTGTCTATGTTCATTGGTCATGCATACATGCATGTAAGTTCTGTGGTTTACCTCCCCACCCTCAACCTCCCCTCCTCTGAGGCTTATCAGTCTGTACCCCACCTCTATGTCTCTGGGTTAATTTTGTTTATCAGTTTGTTTAGTTCATTATATTCCACAAATAAGTGAGATCATGTGATATTTGTCTTTCTGTGGGGCTGTTGCAATTCTTAATTCTACTGTTAGGCCACGAGTTTAAACACGCTCTCCTCATTCACTTCAAAAGAATCCAGTCTAGGAAGAATCTGACAATTTAGAACTTTGCAACAGGTTTTTATTTTTGCTTTATATCTATTACAGTGTTTGAAACCTAAAGAAATACATTTTCTCTTCAAATTTGGATGTGTATATAAATATCATTTGTCTGGACTCAGCACACTCAATGCCACGGTTTCTTGGCCTATGTCTGCTCTGAAATCAAGCTTTGTCATCTACCCAGGGGTCCTGAGAACATAGAAAATAGCCAGAGTTTATAGTTCATGGAAAATTAGAAGCAAATGAATTTGGAAAGAAAAAACCAGTGAGAAAAAGGGTTTGATTCACCCTCGCAGGGTCTGTAGCTGGGAACCCAAACTGCTTTTGAGGGACATCTGGTTTGTCTTGGGTAGCTGGGACCTCATACCCCCATTGCTTCTTTAGTGGTTCATTCAAAGGCAGTTCCCACAAAAGTTGGCTAAAAGAGCCAATACCCAAGGACAGGGCCTGAGGGTTCTCATAGAGGTGGACTGTCAAAGCCATCCTCTGAGTTAGAGATTCCTAGCCAGTCTCAGGATCTGAGCTTTGCCTTCCTTCATTGCCCCAGGACATGGCAAGATTTTCTGTCCTCAAACCTAGGGGCTGAAAATATGACCTACACAGGGGAGCAGGGCTAGCATTTAGCAGAGGGGTTCAGATATGTTCTAACGTGGACATCAGCAGTCAGGCTGGCCCAGAAATAGCGAGGTAGGCCCAAACTACACACTACACAAACTTTTATAACACTACACAAACCTTTCTTCTGGGGTGTTCTGGGCCCAAAATTTAATGCTGTCTCTTCTAACTCTCATACCTAGTCTTGGTTCTGCAAATAACCTAGGCCTGAGGCAAAATGCCCTCAGAGGAAAAATAACAGCTTTATTCAGACTTGGTTGGTTGCTGACCTCAAATTCTTCCCTTGCTATGGTCTTAATCTGGGGTAGGGCTGGGGGATAGACAAAAAGATGACTAAATCATTAATGAAGGTCTTGGCCAAAGAGCAGCTTATTCCTACAACATGGATCTCCACAGGGCCACAATCTCACCTTGCTGGTTTAACATAAGAATCCAGAAGTTAAGATACAGAAAAAATACTGGACAAGATTGGTCTAGAATCCTAAAATGGCTACAGAATAAACCTACTCTGAGCAATTTCTCAGTCTCACACTTACTCACTTCTAGGATAGTCCTACCTGGAAGATGTTGCTACTTGTTAGGAGCATCTTCCTGTGATTCAGTGCACTGAGCCTTGCACCCTTCCCCAGCCTGTCAGGGAGGCAGACAGCCACACACATTTCCTGAGGCCCTCAGCCAGCCTGTTTTCCCTACAGGTCCCTATAGCGTCTGTAGGGACCTGGAGAATCTGGCTACCTACCTGCTTTCAGTTGAGAATTCAGAATCTGAGCCCACAAGACGAATCTATAGAGGAATACCCAAGATGATGGACAACAAGCTAAGTGAGTCTCAGGAGAAGAGATGTGGCCTGAACATATGAGCTGAGGCATTTAAAGAGGGGTACGTGGAATGAGGAGGGAAGTATTGCCAGGTATTCACCTTCCCTTCTAGTTTGCTAGAAACAGGAGTAACTCTAGAATGTAGGGGGAAGGCAGGCAGACATGAGAAAATGGAAATCCATTTCATTCTGTAGACCATTCTTCCTTTTAAGCTGGTTTGGCTTGCGAGAAAAAGAAAGTCTGTGCCTGAGAACCTGCTTTTGCTCTTCCTTGACTATAGTAGCAGCTATAATCTGTGCAGTTCAGCTCCAAAAACGTGGGCTCCTGGAAAGTACCTTCCAGGCAAGGAGAGTAGATTTAAGGGTCCTAGGTAATAGGAAACACCAGGGTCCCAGAAAGCTGAAATCATCAATACCTGCTCCTTGGAAGAGACATTTTTACCCAATGACCCAAGTAACCAGGCTGGCCAGCTGAGGTGGAACCCACGTGGTTCTATTAGAAGGTGTAGCCAACACCAAGGCCAAGTAGTCACCGGGGAAAGCTCCGATCTTAATGCAGGCTTCTAGGACCAGAGATTCTGTTAGTACTGGAAGATTAATTGGGGATGGGATGCCCAACGGGACTGGCAATAAAGAATAGCTGGCACTATTTAAAACAGTATTTGAATACTTTAAGAAAAGGTTCCTTATTCTCTTAATCCACACCCAGACACCTCCACCCCCACCAGAGATCTTAAAATGGACATATCAGCCATATGGCAACATATGAAGATTCCAAAAACATGTCTTATCAGGCTATTCCCTACAGCAGGCTGGCAGCCCCTCCATCCCTGCAACATTTATTCAGAAATCTACCAGAAATCCTTTGACCTTACCTAGGTCAGGGTCTGGAGTCCAGATGGGAGCTGCCTATGAAGAGTGGCTATCCAGCCTGGGTTAAAGAAATACTTTGCTTCCCAAAATGGCCAAAGGAGAGGAGAAACACAAATGATGATGCCACTGCTCTGTGGCTGGAAGAACTTCACCTGTTGACTAGAAGGGGTTAAAGGAAGATAATGGGAAACATGGTCTGAGGAAGACACTAAAAAGGGAAAGCTCTTAGAGGCCACTTTTATCTGATGAGAAATCTCTCCTCATGTTGTGCCCTGGGAGACTTCAGCCTTTGAAGTCCCTGGAAAAAAAGGGCTTTAAGCAGCAGCCAGTGAAACAAAAATCTTCCCTCTGGTACAGGGCCCAGATCTGAAGGGAAAGTAGATTTTGGAGGAAGAGTTGGGAAAAGCAGGATGTGTATGTCTCACAGTAAGAAACTGGCCCCAATGTCAGGGACTTAACTATTGCTTAAGATGTACAAAGTAGATCCTACTAAAGGGCTTTCCCCTTTGGACAAGGGTGGGGGTGGGGGTGAGGGTGGGGTTTTTCTTTGAACTATAGAATAGTTTCGTAATGAAGTCAGCAGGCCAAGTGAAAAAGGCCCTGCCTCTTGCCTACCTGGGAGACTGGGGGTTGAGTCATCATTCCCAAGCTGAAGAATAGCATCTGACTCACTCAAGTGGTACAGCATTGGTACGACTTTTCAGTGATAAGCTATAGCTCCAAGCCACCTTTCTCAGAAAATGGCTGTGGAGTTGGATCTCACACTAGGAGGAGGGCAAATTCAAGGCCAATGGCTGACAGTGAGCACCTGAACTTGAGATCTGTAAGCAGAGGGGCATGGATTTCACCTGAGCCAGAGATATGTAGGAATGGGAGCAAGAATGGCACTGTTTCTGGGGAAGGGAAAACACATCTTGGAGCAGGGCACTTCTGACTGACTGACCATAGCAGGAAAGCAGGGACACGGCAGACTGTGCCTTCTCACAGTTGGTCTATAGTTACTTAGCTGGCTGACTTACTTATCTAACAACTTTCTCTAACCCCATCCCCAACAACTGGGCTTTACTCTCATATGTAATCCACCAAAGCATAGGCAAGCCATTGTGGCATTGCATTAGCTTCACTCAAAGAGAAAAGACAAAATAGACATTAGGATTATAATTGTCACAAGGGCAAAACCCAAACCAGGTACAAGGATCCCAAACAGGGAAGATATCTATAACTCTCACTAAAGTCCTGAGGCTGCTAAGTTTCTATGATAATAGGAGAGGCAGCCATGTGTGAACAAGGGCCTCTGAGACCAAATCTGAGAAGGCAGACTGCTTTCTGGGTTTCCTGAAGCAAGCAGGATGCTCAGCAGTAAAGATGAGAGTGGCAGACTTCACCACACCTTGAGGTCATCCTTGCTTCCTTCAGGTATGGGACAATCAGACCATGTTGACATGCTACATAAAGGTTCCAGAGCTAAGGGTTGGTCCCAGGTGGTGGCCCAGAACCCAAGCACAGAAGAAAAGACCAAGCTCAGACCTCCTAAGTGAGGGAGCTTCCACGTTTCGTTTTGGTCTTCCTCACAGTACCCTACTTACAGAAATTACAGAGAATTCTTCCTCTCAAGACCAATCAAGATTGACTTACCTAATATATAGAATATAAAAAAATACAGAACTTTTTGACATTTTCTCCTTTGGAAGTAAAATATACATGATACAACTATGGAAGAGGAAGAAGAAAGGCCAAAGGTAGTGATCCCTGGCTATCCCAATACAGGACACTCTCACTCCAACCTCCTCTGCAACTTATGGGTCACCAGAGCAAGGACTTTCTCCTCAGGAGAAAGGAAGGATCACAGCCCCCTGTCTCATGCTTAGGAGAAAATATAGCTACCTCAGAGGTTCGGTCAACTCTGAGGGGAATTTTCAAGTAAACAAATGAAGTTGGGTCGCACCATTGGAAGGTGGGTAGGAAACATGGGATCAGTAGCGACACATGGGAAGCCCTGTCTCAAAAGCCTGTGCTCCTCCCCTCCACTCCCACTGGTGTACTTGCCCAGGAGAGTGAGGGGGATCTCCCAAACTAAAGAGGTCTGGGCAGGGGTTAGAGGGAGGGAGGGAAGGGCCTTTGTCTCATGGTGACCTCCCCTTCAGCCTCTAGTCCCAGACAATGCTGGCAGCTGGGATTCCTAAAACCAGGAACTCATGGTTCTTGGAAAGAGCAATCTTAATACAAGAAAAATGTGCAAAAGAAAAAAAATTAAATAACTCAATCCAAGCATACAAGATTAATATTCTGTCAGAGCAAGAACACTTTTTTTGGATTTCTCCCCTCCCCTCCCAACCCCCACTTCTGGAATATTCCATCTGCTCAAGTACCCAAGATAAGAGTTACACAAATCAGGGCAGAGAACTGGGAAGGATGAAGGAAGATAAAAGGGAAGGAAGTCACTACTAAAGAAAAAATAAAAATAAAAAAGGTGCAAAATTGATTACCTCAGTCCTCCTTTGTCTACCCCTGGGCTCCTGGGTTAAAGACATATGTGCAGCCAAAATATAGTGTAAGGAAGAAAAACCCAACACGTCCCCTTCTTGTCACAAAACCCAAATATGAGCCTCAGATGGTTCTGTCTGTCCAGAGGGTGCTCCCTCCAGGGAAGGGGGTGGAGCAGGTCAAGAGCACAGTTTCCAGGGCAGCAGAGGTGTGTGGTGGCTGATGGTGGGGAGCTGGTTTCCCGCCCACCAGAGGGCTGCTTTTCCGCTGGTTGGTGGTGCTTCCCATCCCATCCCCTCCCCGGAGGCAGACATTATAGCTGAAAGCCCTCCATGGGGGCCTCAGGCTGCTGGAATATGAACTGCTGTTGCGTTTCATCCACTTGGGGAGCCAGGCTGCTATCATCATCTTCTACACCAAAGTAGTGCTCAATGAGGTCGAAGGCCTTCTGGTAGATCTCCTGGTTCTCATGGCTCTGGAGAAATTCGATTTTATCCAAGCCTTTGGTGGTAACAAGGAAAAAGGGAGAGTAAACTTTCATAAGTGCTTTTCTATGGCTTTGTGAAACACTTCTCTATTTTTCTTTCCCTGAGGTATGGTGCTGCTTATAAATACAAATAGTATGATCCGATCTCTTCTGACCTGAAAGAGGAAAGCCAAGATCTCCCCCCAAACTATATAACCTCAAAGGAAAAAGACCAAAATGTGAGTTATAAATCAGAGGTTCTAATCCTGATTCTGCTTTTAACTACCTGTGTGACCTGGGCAAATCATTAACCTCTCTGAATCGCTCAGATATGAGTGATGAGTCCATCCTCACTCTTGCTGGAACCTGCTAGAAACTCAGCTAAAAATATGTCTTCTTCCAGTACCCGATTCTATTAATTCTGGAGCTTTCTTTTTGCATCTATATCATACCTACTTGCTGGAAAGAGCCCACCAGAAAGAGAACTGATCTACTGCCCCTGAGAGGGAGAAGGAAGTGGTGGGAGAACCTTGCATTCAATGACGACTCTAAAAAACATGTATCCTCACATATGTATACTACTTTGGAGGCCTACAGTCCCGAGACTCTAACCTAGAACCTCTCTACTTAAGACAGAGATGACGATGGAGAGAGGACACATACCATAGGCTTCTTCGATCAGGCCACAGTAGGGATTGACCCCTGAGCCACTGCGCTTGCCCTCTTGCTCCCCAAGCCGAAGGATGTTCTCCAGTCCATTGAGGGCCACTTGCACAATCTTTGAATCCATCACAGTCAGCAAGTCACAAAGGGGTTTGATGCAGCCCAGTGATACTAAGTACCTAGGACCAGAGACCAGGCAAGTTCTAAATTAGGGGTGGGGAATGCCTTATGCGGCCCTCGAAATCAACACCAGCTAACATTACACACCTCACCAAATATAGCAGGCTAATTTTTTTTTTTTAAATGTTGCTATAATCTTAAATTTATTTATTTATTTATTTATTTTATCCTCACCTGAGGACATTTTTCCATTTTTTGTTCAGATAGAGCGGGAGGGAGAGAGAGGAAGAGAGAGAGAGAGAAACATCGATGTGAAGGGACACATTGAGTGGCTGCCACCCGCACGACCAACCAGGGCCGGGGACAAACTGCAACCGAGGTTCATGCCCTTAGCGGCAACTGAACCCGGGTCTCTCTGGACCGCAGGCCGACGCTCTAACCGCTGAGCCAAACCGGCCAGGGCGAGGCTAATTTTTAAGTTGATAATTTTGTATGGTCTGCGAATGATGTTATAAATATCCAAATGGCCCTGGCCGGTTTGGCTCAGTGGTTAGAGCGTCGGCCTGCGGTACAGACAGACCCGGGTTTGGTTCCCACTAAGGGCATGTACTTCGGTTGCAGTTTGTCCCTGGCCCTGGTTGGGTCGTGAGGGTGGCAACCACTCGATGTGTCCCTTTCATGTCAATGTCTCTCTCTCTCTCTCTCTCTCCCTCCTACTCTAGCTGAACAAAATATGGAAAAATGTCCTCGGGTGAGGATAAAAAAAAAAAATCCAAATGGCTCTTGGCAGAAAAAAAAGGTTCCCCACCCCTGTAATTAATGCAGGGCAAGGGAGGTACTAGGCAGGTGCTATGATGTCTGTGGATCTCCCTCATACATGTCAACACACTGTGAAATTCACTCTTACTGAGCTTTCATAACCACTCATCCTTTATCTGTCTCTCTCCACCTTCCCAATGCTAATGGCCCAGTTCAGCAATTTTCAACCTTTTTCATCTTATGGCACACATAAACTAATAGTAAAATTCTGTGGCACACCAAGATACATTTTTTTGCTGATCTGACACACACACACAAAAGCTATAATTTTTTAGTTAATCCTCACCAGAGGATATTTTTCCATTGATTTTTAGATAGAGTGGAAGGGAGGAAGGAGGGAGGAAGGGAGGGAAGGAGGGAGGAAGAGAGAAAGAAACATCGATGTGAGAGAGAGACATCAAATGGATGCCCTTTGTATGACCCTGACAAGGGCCAGGGATTCAATCTGCAACCCAGGCATGTGCCCTTGACTGGGAATCAAACCCAAGACCATTAGGTCCATAGGCTGATGCTCTAACCGCTGAGTCAAACTGGCCAGGGCAAATTATAGCTATTTTTCCCTGGCCAGTTTGACTCAGCAGTTAGAGCACTGGCCTGCGGTCTGGAGAGACCCGGGTTCGGTTCCCGCTAAGGGCATGTACCTTGGTTGCAGTTTGTTCCCGGCCCTGTATGGGTCGTGCGGGTGGCAACCACTCGATGTGTCCCTTTTAAATAAAAAGAAAAAAAGCTATAATTTTAATTCATTCACTCTGGACAGCTATTGTACTGGTTGTTGTCATTGAAAAAAATATATGTGTTTTTATTGATTTTTTTAAGAGCGAGAGGAAGGGAGAAAGAGAGAAATATCTATGTGAGAGAAAAACAATAGTCGGCTGCCTCCTGCACACCCCTACTAGGGATCAAGCACATAACCTGGGCATGTGCCCTGACAGGGAATTGAACTGGCACCTCTCAGTCCATGGGATTACACTCAATCCACTGAGCCACACCAGCTGGGCTGCTGTCATTTTTTAATTTGACAAACTAAGGGAAAAGAGGTCAGTGCCCTTGACTAAAGAGTTAGGTACTTCATGTTTTAAAAATTCTTATGGCACACCAGTTGAAAATCACTGGACTAGTTCATTTCCATGTGAAAGTCCGCCATAAATTCCTCCTCATCTCTAATGTCTCCTTGCTGCAATATTACCACTCTGAACCCATCATTTCCCTGCTTAAAAGTTTTTTTGCCTAGCCGGTGTGGCTCAATGGTGAGTGTCAACCCATGCACCTAGAGGTCACCAGTTTGATTCCTGGTCAGGGCACATGCCCAGGTTGTGGGCCCAATTCCCAGTGGGTGATGTGCAGGAGGCGGCCAATCGATATTCTCTGTCGTCGATGTTTCTATCTCTCCCTCTTCCTTCTTCTCTCTCTAAAAAAAAATCAATAAGACAAAAAAAATTAAAAAAAAAAAAAAAAAAGGTTTTCACAGTCCAAGCTTCACAGGCATGACAATACAGACTCTCTACATCTGGCCCCTACTCTCCTCTCCTAGCTTTGCTTCTAGTCATTCCCTTCTAAGAACACTACATTCCAGTCAAACATGTAACAGTCTCCAAGATTAACTTAATGGTTATCCCTTTTCTCCTAAAGCTTTATATATCCAGTCATGTGCTGCATTAACAACATTTAAAAAAAAATACACTTTTAGATAGAGAAGAAGGGAAAGGGGGAGAGAGAGAGAAACTGATGAGAGAGAAACATCGATTGGCTGCCTCCTGCATGCCCCATACTGGGGATTGAGCCTGCAACCTGGGCATGTGCCCTGACAGGGAATCAAACCGGCAACCTCTCGGTGTATGGGATGACACTCAATCCATTGAACCACACCAGCCGGGCACATAACAAAATTCTGGTCAATGACAGATTTCATATATAACAATGATCCCATAAAATTATGCTGGTGTAAACAAACTTACTGCACTGCCAGTTGTATAAAAGTATAACATACAGAATTATGTACAGTATATAACACTTTGTGATGATAAACGACTATGTTGCTGGTTCATGCATTTACTATACTGTACTTTTCTGGTTATGTAAAGTGTACTCTTCCTAGTTATAAAAATGTTTTCTGTCAAACAGTAACTGTGTTACACCTACACCAGCAGCAGCCTAACACACCTTGTTTACTGGGATTCTTAACTGCATCATTTTCTCTTGTGCTTGATTTAGTCTCATGTTGTTTTATATAGTAACATGTTGTATAGGCTTGTAGCCTAGGAACAGTAGGCTATACCATCTACGTTTGCTTAAGTACACTCCATGATGTTCTCACAATGACGAAAATGCCTAATTTCAGAACATATTCTTGTCATTAAGTGGTACATGACTGTACTGAATATACTCCCCTTGCTGAGGGCAAGACACCTGCCTAATTCTCATCACTCCTACTCATGTTGATAATAAAAACTAAAATAAAAAGCGCGCGCACACACAAAATAGCTTTCTATTTGCTTCTCCCAAGTACTTCCCCCCAAAATGATTTCACAAAGAAGCTGTGTTGAATGAACCATAGCATGGCTCTCCTTCATTTGTATGGGTAATTGACAATTACATATAGTCTCTGGCGGGGAGGACAAGGTAGAGAGACAGATATCTGTGTCACAGGTTTCTGTTTTCTAGGAGGAAAAAAAGGTACATGGTCTATAGGTATCTATTCCAGACTCCAGTGCCACTCTAGCAGTTTACCAGTTAAAACCTACTGCAGCTGGACTGGGGCAGACTATCCTAGAAAAAGCAGTTTGGAGGTCACATGTAAACCGTGAGCCAAGAGGGAGAATACACATATCATGCAACACAATGGGAAAGAAATGAGATACCTGATCTGCTCAGGGGTTCCTCCAGATGTGGCATTGGTGATAGCCCAGGCTGCTTCTTTCCTTGTACGGAACTCTGCTTTCTGAAGAATTTCGATCAGCACAGGGAAGATGTTTGTATCAATGACAGCCTGAGAGGATTGGGGTGGCAGTGGGAAGGAGAAAGTAAGTCACTTCAAGAAAAGAAACCATATCCAGCCCATAAATCAGCTAATATTCAGACAGCTTCCCTTCCTGGCAGTCTTCCTTTGTTCTTGTTATATAGATGAGAGGCTACAGTGGAACCTGGCTTCCACTACACAGAATCTTTGACCAATAGCACCCACTGACCCCAATTTCTAAAGAGAAACAAATTCTTCTAGAACCAAATATTCTATAACCTCTCATGTACCCATGCCTTTCCACCTGACATCCCCACCCCCTGACGTCCCTCCTGCTTGGTCTACCTGAATTTGAGCCCTGTTGCCAGCAGTGATATTTGAAATGGTCCAGCAAGCTTCTTTCCGGATTGACTCCTTGGGGCTGCTCAGCAAGTGGAGGAGGCAAGGGAGCGCTGAACAGTTGAGAATGACCTAGAACACCAAAAGCACAGGCAACAAAATTAGATAATGGACTTAATCAAAATTAAAAACTTTTGTAAGAATTAATATCCAGCCCTGGCCAGTTTGGTTCAGTGGTAAGGGCACTGACCCGTGGACCAGAGAGTCCCGGGTTCGGTTCCCGCTAAGGGCATGTACCTTGGCTGCAGTTTGTTCCCGGCCTTGGTTGGGGTTGTGTGGGTGGCAACCACTTGATGTGTCTTTCTCACATCAATGTTTTTCTCTCTCTTCCTCCCTCTCTCCCTCCCTCTCTATGTGAAGATAAAAATGCAAAAATTTTCTTAGGTGAGGATTAAAAAAAAAAAGACAGAATTAATATCCAGAATATACAAAGAGTTTCTACAACTCAACAATACAAAAACCAAACCACCCAATTTTTAAAATGGGCAAAGGATTTGAATAGACATTTCTCCAAAGAAGATATACAGATGGTCAAAAAGCAAACGAAAAGATGCCAAACATCACCTAATCATTAGGAACTGCAAACCAAAACCACAATGAGATACTACTTTACACTTACTAGGATGACTACTATAAAAAAAAAAAAAAATAGAGCCCTGGCTGATTTGGCTCAGCGGTTAGAGCTTCGACCCACAGACCAGAGAGTCTCAGGTTTGGTTCCCACTAAGGGCACATACCTTGGTTACAGTTTGTCCCCGGCCCTGGTTGGGGTTGTGTGGGTGGCAACCACTTGATGTGTCTCTCTCAGGTCGATGTTTCTCTCTCTCACTTCCTCCTTCTCTAACCTCCCACTCTATCTGAAGATAAAATGCAAAACAAAAATGTCCTTGGGTGAGGATAAAAAGAACATAGAAAATACAAGTGTTGATGAGGATATGGAAAAAACTGGAATCTCGGGGAGTGGGAATGTAAATTGGTGCAGCCATTGTGCAAAACCCTATGGTGGTTCCTTAAAATATTAACCATGCCCGGCTGGTGTGGCTCAGTGGTTGAGCATCCACTCATGCACTAAGAGGTCACCAGTTCGATTCCTAGTCAGGGCACATGCCCGGGTTGTAGGCCAAATCCCCAGTAGGGGGCATGCAGGAAACGGCCAGTCGATGCTCTCTCACGTCGATGTTTCTCTCTCTCTCTCTCTCTCTCTCTCTTCTTTTCCCTCTCTCTCTCTCTCTCTAAAATCAATAAAGAAAAAATTTAAAAGTAAAATAATCATATGATCCAATAATTCCATTTATGGGTACATATCCAAAAGAACTGAAAGCAGACTCAAACAGGTAACTTGAAAGCCAATGTTCAATGCAGTATTATTCATAATAGCCAAAAGGTGAAAACAACCCAAATGTCTATCAACAGATGAATGCATAAACAAAATGTGGTGTATATATACAATGGGTGATTTAAACATAAAATAAAATGAAGGTCTGACACATGCTACAATATGAATGAACCACAAAGACATTATGCAAAGTGAAATAAACTACATAAAAGGACAAATATATATAGTTCCACTTATGTAAGGTACCTAGAGTAGTCAAGATCACAAATAAAGTAGTATTATGATTACCAGGGACTGAGGGGAGGAGGAAATGGAGAGTTATTATTTAATGGGTAAGAGTTTCAGTTTGAAATGATAAAAAAATGTGGTACTGGCAGGTGATGATGGTTGAATAACAATGTAAATGTACTAAATGCCACTAAAATGTACACTTGAAAATGGTTAAAACAGTAAATTTTATGTTATGAATATTTGTTCATGCATGCACACATAAGTATGACCTAGAAAATGAGTGTGGGTTTAGTCACCTATAAGGAACTGTCACGAATCCCACAGAATTAAGCCAACTACTCAAGACCCAAAGAATACCCAGATCCCTAGCCTCTGAACAGAAGAGAACGCTGTTTACTGTGCCCTCCCTTCCCAGATTAACATGAAGAGTGTCCACGGGATCGTAAAGGTCTAGGAAGTAGAGGTAAGGTCCCATAGCTTTTAGTATCTCAAAGGGACCAGGATTAAAAAACTATTAAGGCCCTGGCCGGTTTGGCTCAGCGGTTAAAGTGTCGGCCTGCGGTCCTGAGAGACCCGGGTCCGGTTCCCGCTAAGGGCGCGTACCTCGGTTGCAGTTTGTCCCCGGCCCTGGTCGGTTGTGCGGGTGGCAGCCACTCGATGTGTTCCTTTCACATCGATGTTTCTCTCTCTTTCTCTCTCTGTTCCTCTCTCTCCCTCCCACTCTACCTGAACAAAAAATGGAAAAATGTCCTCGGGTGAGGATAAAAAAATATATAAATAAATAAATAAATAAATAAAATAAAAATCTTAAAAAAAAAAAACTATGAAGAATTACCTTACATTGTCTCAGGTACTGAGTCAAGTTAAATTAGCATTCCTTCAAAAGCACAGAATGGATGATGTTTTGCTTCCAATTTATAGAAAAAATAAAGGCAACCAAGTTCCTCATGATCATATAGAGTATGGCAGAGTTGGAGTATTTCACCCAAGCCCATGTTTTCTCTCCTAGACTATGCTGCCTCCCATCAGCACCAAAGACATTGGTAGGAAAAGGTTTTATCCGCAGACAGCTCTCCTCTTCCTTACCTGGGTTTGGATGTCATCCCCAGTGACGATGTTACCCACAGCTCTCAGGGCAGGAGAAGCCACTTTGTAATCATTATGCCTGCAGAGGAGGGAAATCTGGTGAGTAGAACGCCAGCACAAAGTACTCAGCCCTGCTGACCAACAAGGCTGACAGCACTCTTACGGCTCTAGACACTTTGGATAGGGCAGCAGTTCTTTAGTCTGAGCTTGTAGTTTAGGGAATCTGTACCCTTTCTGAGACCACTCACATTAGAAGTTCTACCAATCTTCTGCAGACTCCAGAGTCTATGACCGCCTGTATCTTCTCATTGGGGCCATCGGACAAATAAGAAAGGGCCCAGCAAGCATCTGCCAGCAAGTCTGAGTCACTGCTGAAAAGTAGGCGAGACAGCACAGGCAAACAAGAGGAGACCTGTTGGAAGCAGAGTGAGAGGGACTCAGGGGGACAGCTACATCAGCCCTACTACTACTACTACTACTACTACTACTGCTACTGCTACTACTAACATTGCTGTTGTTCCCTCCTCTACAAGTAATTCTAAACCCTGCAGATCCCTATTACATTAAAACATCAGGACTAACTTTTCACTTTATCATCCATGCACACAAAATCACTTACTTCATTGAAAAGTGCCTCTTTGAGTCTCTCATGGATTGAGAGACTCTAAGAGGTTCCTTAATATTTGAAAATTCCCATATAAAAATTTGTCCATATGAAGGAACCTACCATCCCTAAGGAACCGGAAGAAGCTTTCTTACCTTTGCAAACTCCGGAGGTGGGTTCTTCCCTCGGCAGAGGTTTGACAGGGCCCAGACTGCATTCCGTGTCATCGTCAGTCGTGTGGACTTTGTAAGTAGCCTGGAAAACAAAAAAAAAACAAAACCAGATCCTGAGCAATGATGTCCTTGGTGTAGGGTTGCTGCCAATAAACCCCAGGAGCAAATCCAATCAGACCCCCAAGGCTCTCAGCCTCAGTTTCTTCCTACCCAGAGACCTAATTTAACTGAGCCTATTTGGGCCAGGAGGCCAATCTATATCCCCAGAGGATTAGGACTAGCTATGGCTAGTTAAGACCATAGCTAATAAAGACAAACGGAGGTCTGGATCTTGAGTAAGCCTGCAAAGCTTTTAAGATAGGACATACTGTGCACCTAAGCATGGCCACAAGTTCTAAACAAGAAGTACTGTTCTCTTTGGAAATAAAAGCTGAAGGTCTACTTTCTGTGAAGGGCCCAAGAAAGAGTTATAGTGGTAGCCTATGAGAATTTGGTCTCTGAGGAACAGTTCATTCATCTCTTTTGGTTTAAATGTAATGTAGCTCTACTTCAAGGGAGGGATGAAAAAAGAATTCAAATGAGCTTTCATGGGGCCTTTGACCTGAGGTTTACAACAGCTCTCCAATGGACCTATGCATAAACACACAGCAAATCAATGTATTCTGCAGAGACTAGATTTTTCAAGATGGGCTAATCCTGCCTCTCTCCCCGGCTCAAAAATGAGTCAGGTATGACCAACATGAGATTCCACAGTGCTATGAAGTGAGGAAGCACAGACCAGTACTCACAATCTTCATGTTCTTAAAAGATATCTTTTACTTTGGCAATCAAAACGTACTTATAGCATTTCTGTATTATCATCTTAAGATAAGTTGCCCCCAAAAGACCTGCCACATGGCTGCCCTACAGAAGCCCCAGGTGCAGATGATTACTAATTACTCACGTTAACAAAGGATTAAGGATGGAACAGTTCAAGACATAATCTCGGCAGACGGAGCTGTCTCCAGCTATGTTTCCCAGTGCCCAGACTGCCTGAAAAGGAGATGATGAAACTGTCACCCACAGAGCCTAGTGGCTTCTTTGAGTACTTTATACTTACAACTACAGAGTGAACACCCAACAATAATCAGAATGAAAACCATATCAAGGCCCAAGACACACTAAATGAGCTCAGGTACTGTCTGTTGACTCTTTTTTTTAACGTGTTTTTTTTAAATCCTTACCCAAGGATATATTTTTTTGGCTGATATTTTTTTTCTTTAGAGAGGAAAAGGAGTAGGGGTGGGGGGACATTGATATGAGAAACATCACTTGTTGCCTCCCATACACACCTCACTGGGGATCAAACCCATAACATAGGTATGTGCCCTGACCAGGAACTGAATCCACAACATTTTGGTATACAGGACGGTGCTCCAACCAACTAAGCCAGGGCAGTTGATACCTTCTTCTTCTTCTTCTTTTTTCTTCAAAATATATTTTTGTTAATTTTTTTAGAGAGAGGAGGAAGGGACAGATAGAAACATCGATGAGAGAATCGAACCGGCAACCTCTTGGTGCATGGGTCAATGCTCAACCACTGAGCAACACTGGCTTGGCCAGGCTATTTAAAAAAAATCTTAAAAGCCCTGGCCGGTTTGGCTCAGCTGTTAGAGCGTTGGCCCGAGGACCAAAAGTCACGGGCTCGATTCTAGTCAAGGGCCCGTACCTCGGTTGCAGTTGTCCTGGCCCTGGTTGGGGTCCTGCGGGAAGCAACCAATTGATGTGCCTCTCTCACACTGATGTTTCTCCCCACACCCCCAACACTCTATCTGAAAAATCAATGGAAAAATATCCTTGGGTGAAGATTAAAAAAAAAAAAATTAAGCCACATTTGAGCATTACCTGTTCCTGTACATCCTCAAAGTCCGAGTTAAGCAGCTCTATAAAAATGGGGACAGCCCCTGCTTCAATGACAATTTTGGTCTGCTGAGAGGTTCCAGAGGCAATGTTCGTTAGAGCCCAGGCAGCTTCAAACTGAAAGCAAGATTAAGCCATGATTGAGAGATCATTCTGGACAGGGCAGCATGCCTACCAGCTGGCTCAGAGCAGTAAGCCTTTTGCTCCTGACTAAAAAGCCTTTTCTTCTCCCCTTAAATGGTAGGAAGAGGTAGTGGCAGCGACAAAACAGAATGGGAAACCAGAACGGGGCTTCAGTGGCCCAGGTCTAGTCCTGCACTACCACAGCACCCATTAGTCCTTCAGCAAATCACCTTTTATTTCCCAAGCTTTACTTTCTTCATTACTGAAACCATGATTAGAGTGAGCTGGATCTCTCAAAGTCCCGTTCAGCAGAGTTTCTAGTAAGTTCCAACAGATTGATTCACCACCCATTTCTGAGAACAGAAACCCAGAGAAGCTAAATGATTTGACTCATTCAGGTCACACAGGTAATGTGGAAGTGGACTAGAACCTCTGATTTATAACTGAATAATCAATCTGTCATATTCTGGTATCTTTCCTTTGAGATTATTTTAGGAAAGAGAAATGTGCTTTCTTGTTTGAGGCCAAGACTTCTGAGGTAACATACTGATAGCTTCTATTAAATGTTCCCTCATATCATTTGTCTATTTTCTGAGATGAGTCTATAGAAACATCCCATTGCAATTTCTTTGAAGGAAGGCTTTCATCTGGTACCTCTCCAACCCAGGTCTCACCTGTAACGTACAATTCTCATTCCTCTTCAGAAACTCCACAAACCGATCCACCACTCCTGGAGTGTTGATAACTTCATCTATTGGAGGGCTAGGCTCTGTAAGAGAAAGGAAGAAAAGTCAGGACAGGCTTTGGCTGATGCACTCACTGAGGTCAACCCACCATCCTTCCTAGATACTCCTGATCATCCTTATAAACTCCTTTTGGGTGAGGTGGTTTTAGCAGCAGTTGGTTATCTTTGAACTGTATGATATAGTTGGGATGCTAAAGAGTAAAGCCCATCCTAATTTAAGTATGTTCACCTTTGGCTTACTGAACTAAGCTTAGCAAGTAAGAAAGTAAGGGAGAGAAGAAAGCCCAAGGGATAGAAACCCCTAGTCTAAACATTTTCCTTCTAAGACTAGCATTCTTTTCTTGGGAGGAATGCTTAATGTACTGAGACAAGAAGTATTTTTTACTATCAAATTTTTACTGAGCATGAACAATGTGCCAGACACAGTTCTAGGTACTGAGGATATAGTAGTGAACAAAACTAAAAGTCTCTGCTTTCACAGAGCTTACATCCTAGTGAGGAGAGACATTCTATTATGATGGAAGGTAATAAGTATAATGAGAGAGAAAAAATAGGTAGGGCAGGCTAAAAAGATTAAAAATGCTGAGGGTAGGGGGTAGCCTATAATTTTAAATAGGGTATCAGGATAGGCTTCATTGAGAAGATAGGATCTGATCATAGAAGTGAGGGAGCTGTCACACAAATATGTCAAGTAGAAGATATTAGGGAGAAGGAATAGCCAGTGCAAACATAAAAATGTGCCTGGCTTATCTAAACACTAAAGCCAGGAGGACTAGAGCAGATGAGTGAAGGGGGAGCAGGCTGATGAGGTAGCAAGAAGAAAAAAGACACTAAATCATGTAGGTGGTCTCTTTGGGGAGCACCAGACTTTGTACCTTTGGAGAGCAGTTTCCGGAATTTCTGTGTGGTTGCTAACTGCAGGTCAGAGTCATCAGAAAAGAGCATCTCTACCATCTCTCTTGTGATCACACTCTCCTAGAACATAAAACAGGTTCAAGGCTTTGCAAACCAACACTAGAGCCAGATGTGAGCACATAATCCTGAGTGGCATCCTGCTTTGTAAAGAGTTGAGGGCAAGAGGACAGACAGCATAACAGACAGGCTCAGGAGAGTGTGTTTGTTTAATCCACGGCTGCTTCAAGTTGGGACATTTGAAAATGATTCCTAACTTCTGAGGCAACTGATGGCTTCCCTTAAATGTTTCCTCAGATGTCTCCAGAGATGAATCCTTGTTGACTCTTAAAGCTGACCAACTATAAAAGGGCCCATGGAAGAAAGAGCTTAGCATGGTTGTCAGCAAAACTACTAGATGATGTGAACTGCCCACTTTCTGTTCTGTAGAAGCAGGTACTTCCTAGGCCTGCCTGAAGCAAGAGCCTTACCCCAGTGGTAGAGCTCACATAGGAGTCCATGAGGAGACTATCGAACATGGCCGCTTCCTCATTAATCATCTCCACATTTCTCCGTTTAAAAAGCTGCAAGAGAAGAGAAGAGATGGTGGTAAGACTATTCACAAAAACAACAACAACAGAAAAGAATGATTCAATGTTAAATTATGACATAACTGTTGGGTAAATGCAAGCATAGTTGAGAAAATGCCAAGTTTAACATATTGACATGGAAAGATATTCAAGAGCTTTACTTTCTATTTTATGTTTTCATTTTTATAAGCAAAATGAATGAATGAATAAATAAATATTCTAATGCCCTCTGTATAAAAGGTGATAAGTATAAAAGGCCTTGAAGGAAAGGCATAATGGTAAAGCAAGAGGGTAAGCAAAAGCAGGTTAGGTGATTGCATATTGGTCTGGGCAAGGCATCAATTTAGTCGGTGTGTGGCAGAGCATAAATGATGAGGTACTCTCAATCCTAGGGAGACTTACAAAGAATGGACCCAAGAAACAGAAATAAGGCAGCCCAGAGTAGCTGATGAACCTCTTAAAGGGCCAGGCTTGGAGCTGGGCCTTGAAGACTAGGCCTAGCACTGACTTTAGGGTAAAGAAGAGAAAAGGCAATAAGGGGCTAGAACCAGAATGTTATAACAAAGACAAATGATTTCTAAATTGGTCTAAATTATGGAAAAAGAACAAGGAATTGGTTTTCTCTTTCCCAAAGCTTCCGATATTTTGTTGCAACTAAGGAAACTATTGAACATGGCAGCTTAGCTACTTTCCCAAAGGGAGGGTGAGAGTGCAAAAGTGAAAGCCAATCATAGCAGCTGGATCCTTTCCCTAAACAGTATGTTTAAGAATACTCTGTGCCCTGGCCGGTTTGGCTCAGTGGTTAGAGCGTCAGCCTGCAGTTCAGAGAGACCCAGGTTCGGTTCCCGCTAAGGGCATGTACCTCGGTTGCAGTTTGTCCCCGGCTCCAGTTGGGGTTGTGTGGGTGGCAGCCAGTTGATGTGTCTCTTTCGCATAGATGTTTCTCTGTCTCTCTCTCTCTCTCACACACACCCCTTTCCCTCCCACTCTATCTGACGATAAATGCAAAAACAAAAAAGTGTCCTCGGGTGAGGATTAAAAAAAAAAAAAAGAATGCTCTGTGCCCTGGACAGGTAGCTCAGTTGGTTAGAGCATCATTCCAGTATGCCAAGGTTGTGGGTCTGATCCCCAGTCAGGGTACATAATCAATCAATGAATTCATAAATAAATGGAGCAACAAATAGATTTTCTTTCTCTCTCTCTCAAATAAATAAATAAATCGGGGGGGGGGGTAAGAAAAAGAATATTCGGGTTAACCCACTTGTTGCTCCCGCTTCTGCTTCCGAAGCTGAATGCCCTCTTCCTCTCTTCTTCGCCTCATTTCCTCAGGGTTCAGGGCATTGTTCTTATAGCTCTTCATTCGATAATTGTCTTTCCCTGGGCTTGCCATGGTCTCTAGAAGAGAAGATACAAACACATTGGCAAAGACTCTTAAAGACATTATTTCCTTTTCACTGGGCTTCTGTCTCTACCCACCCTCCCCTACTCAAGGAGACCACAGATTCTCAAGGAAGCCTAATAATCTCAATAACCACACTTGACATCTCTAATACTAACAACACATACAGTTTCCTTTAATCATAAGAAGCTGGTTAAATTAAGTGTAATTATAGCCGTTGATATAAGCATAGTAGTTAAATGTGTAGGCCCTGGAACCAATTGTGTGGGTTCAAATTCTGGCTCCTCCACTTCTCAATTTTGCAAACCTTCAATCAGTTCCTTTAACCTCTATCCCTCAGGATCTCATCTTTCTAATAGGGACATAATAGTTTCTACTTGATAAAGTTGTTAGAAAAATTAAATAGATGCCCTAGCTGGGCAGCTCAGTTGGTTAGTATTGTCCCAATACGCCAAGGTTGTAAGGTTTGATCCCTGGTCAGGGCACATACAAGAATCAACCATATGTTGTTCCATAAATAAGTGGAACAACAAATTGATGTTTCTCTCCCTCGCTCAAAAAAAAAAAAAAAATTTGCCTAGCTGGTGTGGTTCAGTGGACTGAAGTCCCAGTTCAATTCCCAGTCGGGGCACATGCCCAGGTTGCAGGCTCAATCCCCAAGAGGGATGTACAGGAGGCAGCCAATTGTTTCTCTCTCACATCAATGTTTCTATCTCTCTCCCTTCCTCCTCTCTTTCTAAAATGAATGAATGAATAAATAGGTTAATACACATGAGGTACTTCTTAGAACAACGATCGACATATGGTAAACTCTCACAAGCTATGACCACCTTCATGACAAGAAAAGTTATATGACTTGCCCAATAAACTCAAATATATATATACATATATATATACATATATATATATATATATATAATCCTCACCCGAGGACATTTTTCCATTTTTTGTTCAGGTAGAGTGGGAGGGAGAGAGAGGAACAGAGAGAGAAACATCGATGTGAAAGGAACACATCGAGTGGCTGCCACCCGCACGACCAACCAGGGCCGGGGACAAACTGCAGCCATAAACTCAAATATATTTAACCTAATCAGGTGAAATAATTATAGTATATCCAATCCAGTGTAATACCATGTATTTTTTTAATCCTCACCTGAGAACATCTTTCCATTTTTTGTTCAGATAGAGTAGGGGGTAAAGAGGGGAAGAGAGAGAGAGAAACATTGACGTGAAAGGAACACATCGAGTGGCTGCCACCCACACGACCAACCAGGGCCGGGGACAAACTGCAACTCACGCCCTAGCAGGAACTGAACCCAGGTCTCTCTGGACCGCAGGCCAACGCTCTAACCGCTGAGCCAAACCGGCCAGGGCCCATGTATCTTTTTTTGTAGTAGTTAATCCTCACTCAAGGATTTTCCTGTTGATTTTTATATAGAGTGGAAGGAAGGGTAGGAGAAAAACATTGATGTGGGAGAGACACATTGACTAGCAGCCTCCTAGACTACCCCAACAAGGGCCGGGGATCGAATCTGCAACCAGGTACATGCCCTTGACCAGGAATTGAACCCAAGACCCTTTGGTCTGAGGGCTGATGCTCTGCCAAGCCAAACCAAACTGGTCAGGGCCATGTATCTTTTTTATTTTTATTTTTTTTAATCTTTTCTTTTATTAATTTATTTTTGTTACAGATGTTTCTCCTTTTCCCCCCATTGACACCCTCCTCCCAATCCTGCACCCACCCCCACGCTCGGCATTGTTGTCTATGTCCACTATTATGCATACATGCATATAAGTTCTGAGGTTCATCTCTTCCCTCCCTCCAGCTCCCTCTTCTGAGGTAAGTCTGTACCATACTTCTATATCTCTGGGTCTATTTTGTTCATCCTCTTCTTTTGTCCATTATATTCCACAAATAAGTGAGATCATGTGATGTTTGTCTTTCTCTGATTGGCTTGTTTCGCTTAGGGTAATACTCTCCAGGTCCCTCCATGTCGTCTCAAAGGATAAGAGATCTTTCTTTCTTACAGGTGCATAGTACTCCATTGTGTATATGTACCACAGCTTTTTTATCCACACATCTATTAATGGACACTTGGGCTGTTTCCAGATCTTAGTGATTGTAAATAGTGCTGCTATGAACATAGGGGTACATATATTCTTTCTGATTGGTGTTTGAGGCTTCTTAGTGTATATTCCTAGAAATAGAATCACTGGGTCAAATGGCAGTTCAATTTTAATTTTTTGAGGTAACACCATATTGTGTTACAGAGTGTCCACAGTGGCTGCACCAGTCTGCATTCCCACCCACAGTGTACTAGTGTCCCCTTTTCTCCACACCCTCACCAGCACTTGTTGTTTGAAGATTTATTGATGGCAGCCATTCTAACAGGTGTGAGGTGATACCTCATAGTTGTTTTTCTTCACACAGGCCAGGCAACCATGTATCTTTTTTAAATGACTCATATGCCCACCATCCATTTTTAAAATAACAACAACAACAACAATAATGATAAAGTTTAGTCCAGCTGGTGTGGCTCAGTGGTTGAGTGTTGACCCATGCATCAAGAGGTTGCCGGTTCGATTCCCAGTCAGGACACATGCCCAGGTTGTGAGCCCAATCCCCAGTGGGGAGCATGTAGGAGGCGGCCAATTGAGGTTCTTTCTCATCCATGTTTCTATCTCTCTCTCCCTCTCAGTTCCTCTCTCTCTAAAATCAATAAAGGGAAAAAAAATTTTTTTTAAATCAACTAAACACAAAAGGTAGTTAGTAATGGAGAGGTACAAAAATGGCATAAGACATACACAAAACAAAAAGCAAAATAGCAGAAGTCCTTCCTTATCAGTAATTATATGTAAATTGATGAAACCCTTGAGTCAAAAGGCAGAGATTGGTAGAATAGGTTAAAGAAAAACAAACAAACATGATCCAACAATTTGATGTCTGCAAATACTGCATATCCAAAGACACAAATAGGTAGAAAGTAAATGGACGGAAAAAGATATTTCATCCAAATGGTAATCAAAAGACAGCTGGGATGGCTCTATTAATATCAGACAAAAATCTTTAGCCCTGGACAGTCTGGCGCAGCAGTTAAAGTGTCAGCCCATGGACCAGAGAGTCCTGGATTTGGTTCCTGATAAGGGCATGTACCTTGGTTGCAGTTTGTCCTCAGCTCTGGCTGGATCGTGTGGGTGTCAACCAGTCGATGTGTCTCTCTCACGTCTATGTTTCTCTCTCTCTCTCTTCCAGCCTCTCTCCCTCCTGCTCTATCTGAAGATAAATGCAAAAATGTCCTTGGGTGAGGAATAAGAAAAAAAATCTTTAAGCTGAAACTGTTACCACAGACTAAGAACAACATTACATACTGATAAAAGGGTCAATTCATCAAGAAGATATAACAGTTATAAAATATAGGCACCAAACTAGAAGGCTAAAATATATGAAGCAAACACTAACAGGCTTGAATGGAAAGAAAACTACAATAATATTTGGAGACTTCAATATACCACTGTCAATAATGAATAGAATACCTAGATAGAAAATCAATAAGGAAATAGAGCTCTTTGACAACATTATAAATCAGCTGAACCTAAATGATATATAAAATATCCCACCCGCCCTGGCTGGTTTGGCTCAGCGGTTAGAGCATCTGCCTGCGGTCCGGAGAGACCCGGGTTTGGTTCCCGCTAAGGGCACGTACCTCAGTTGCAGTTTGTCCCCGGCCCCGGTTGGTCGTGCGGGTGGCGGCCACTCGATGTGTCCCTTTCACATCGATGTTTCCCTCTCTCTCTCTTCCTCTCTCTCCCTCCCACTCTGGTCTGTACAAAAAATGGAAAAATGTCCTCGGATGAGGATAAAAAAAAAAAAAAATATCCCACCAACAACAGCAGAATATATCTTCTCAAGCATACATAGAACATTCTCCAGGACAGACCAAGTTAGGCCACAAAAAGAGTCTCGATAAATTCTAAAGATTGAAAGCTAAAGTATCTTATTCTAAGACCACATGGAACAAAGGTAGAAGTAGAATAAATACCAGAAAGAAAACTGGGAAATTCACAAATATGTGAAAACATACTCTTAAAAATGGAAGTTGAAGAGCTCATTTCCTGATTTCATAACTTACTTCAAAGCTACAGTAATCAAACAACTGTGGTATTGGCATAAGGATAAATTCCCATATATATTGCCAGCTGATTGATTTTTGACAAGGGTCACAAGTCCATTCAATGGGATAAAAATAGTTTCTTCATCAAATGGTGCTGGGACAACTATTTCTCTAGATCCAAAAGAATGAAGTTGGATTCCACAATATAAGAAATTAACGTAGGGATCAACAACCTAAATACACAAGCCAAGACCATAAAACTCTTGGAATAAAACATAGAGGTAAATTTTTGTAATCTGGGTGTTGGCAATGGATTCTTAGCTATGACATCAAAAGCACAAGTATGCCCTGGCTGGTTTGGCTCTGCAGTTAGAGCGTCGGCCCTTGGACTCTTGGCCCGCAGACCAAAGGGTCACAGGTTCAATTCCTGATCAAGGGCACATACCTTGGTTGCAAGTTAGATCCCCAGCCCTGGTGGGGTCATGCGGGAGGCAACCAATCAATGTGTCTCTCTCACATGGATGCTTCCCTTCCTCCCTCCCTCCCACCGTCTGAAATCAATGGAAAATATCCTCGAGTAAAGACATAAAAAAAAAAAAAAAAAAGAGCAAAAGCATGCCCAGCCAGCATGGCTCAGTGGATTGAGCATCATCCCATGGACTGAGATGTTCCGGTTTGATTCCCAGTCAGGGCACATGCCTGGGTTGCGGACTTCATCTCCGATAAGGGACCATGCAGGAGGCAGCCAATTGATATTTCTCTTTCACATCGATGTTTCTCCCTTCCTCTCTCTAAAAAAATCAATAAAAACATATTTTTAAAAATGTACAACAGATTTGAATGCACATTTGGCCAATATATACATGAAAAGATGCTCAATATAA